TATGATTGCCCCAGTGACACCCTACCTCAAGTACCAGAGACTTATGACAACCCTTGACATCCAAGACTGCAAGTCTACCCACACTGTTGTTCTTTTCTCAAGATGGTCTTTGCTGTTCTTGGTTCTTTTCATTTGTTCTTGGCTCATTCCATACAAATTTTGGAATTAATTAGCTTATTTCTAAAAAAAATGTTCTTGGGATTTTGTTTGGACTTGTATTGAATCTAATGGATAAAATTGGGGGAATTGAAAATTGTAATACTAAGTCTTTTATGCATGAACGTTTTATATTTCTCCATTTATTTTGGTCTTTTAAATTTTTCTCAAAATGTTATTTGTTTTGTGCAAGTTTTACACTTTTTGTTACATTTATTCCTAAATATTTCCTATTTCTATGCATTATAAAGGGTTTTACTTAAATACTTTTCTAATTTTTTATTGCTGGTTTATAGAAGTTCAAATAACTTTTTAATAGTGACCTCACTAAATTTACTTCCTTATTTCAACATTTTATCTGTAGCTTCTTTTGGGTTTTCCTCAGACATAATTATGTCTCTGAAAATAATAATAATTTAGTTTTTTCTTTTTCAATCATCTTACCTTTGTTTTTTTCTGCTAGTCTTCTTAATTCAAATTCATACTTCTTGGTCCCTTTCCATGTGTCTGTGGTATTCTGTGTAATTAGAAGAAATCAGTAGGAATATCCACTATGAATTTTCCATGGAAGTGTTGGAGCATATAAACAGTTTCCATGGACTCAGAGGTTTATAACTGCCACTTATTATTCTCTTTTATTCTTTTTAGTGGGGAGGGGGCAGATATGCTCAGAATTTATCTATTGCTGGACCTACTTTTTTTAATTTGTTATGTATCTTTTGATAAATTGCATTGAGACTTTACCACTGTGGAAAGTCAGCTGAGAAACTGTTCCAAGGCCCAGTGCTGTTGGGGAGATTTGGGGAGTTTACAGTTTCCTAATTTGCTATACTCTTTCTGAAACCTGAAAGGTCAGTGAATTTGACTTCTGAACATACTTCCAGCACTAATTCTATCATTAGTGTTATCTAATTGTTGTTCTCCTCAATGATTTTAAAATAAAATTTCAGCCTTATGTTGTCATCAAAGGGAATACCATTTAAAATTAGAAGTCATGTTTGTAAATAGAAGCATTTCTCAAATATGTAACCAAAAACTAAATACAGATCTTAAAAGATACTTTAATAAAATCAAAACCACAGATATGAAATATGGTGTTGAAAGGTATTTGGTGCATTGATTAAGTTCCCTGGAGGACTCTGGATGCTTAAAACAACAGTTTGATTGAATAGAACAATAAATGCAGGGCTGAGTGTATTTTTTCTCTTTCTTTCTCATCTACTAGAAAAATATAGATAATAGAGCTCATTTATTTCCTTAACATTTCAGAGCTCCACAGATGGGAAAACACAACCCAGTGGAAATTATTTCTGGCAACCTTGAGAAGATATGTTAGCATTTTGTGGCATTTCTTTCAGTGACATGTAAAGCATGGCTTTTCCTCATTGCAGTGTCACAGTGAAGTGTCACAATAAAGCCAAAATAGTGTGCCCTCAGGGAAAACTAGGGAAAGGGACCATTTTCCATGCACACACAAAGGGTAATATTTATTATAAAGCTTTTTATTTCAGCTCCAAATGCTACCTGGGCCATGGCTACTTTGCAATGGAGAAATGCACAGAAAGTGAGATTTATAGCAAATGTTTTATATAAATCTAACATAATTGATGTAAATATAAATAATATGTGAAAAAAGTAGAATGCACTTATTGACATACAGGCATGCATAAATCTGCACAGAGTGCCAGGGAGAGAGTTTGTGATGTTGCATAGTGTAGCATCAGCCTGATGTTGATGGAGTCCAGAGAGCACTGAGCTGAGAGTCTGAACCTTTATCTTGGCCTATTTTTGTCACTACCAGCATATATGTTATCTTCTTTGTCCACAACATATGATACAGAAATTATTCTCCCTGTTCCAGGGATAGGGAATTTGGTATGGTATTTCAAAGATTTGATTGTCTGTTGCAAATTACACAGCTAATATTACTTAAGGAAGTTCATACGCAGTATCAAATTTGATGATTTATTTTAAGCTAAATTTATACTTCAGACAAAATCTTACATACCTGCTTCATCCTTGCAGTTATTATTTGATTTTTATTACCATTGAGTGTCATCTCATTACATTTATTCGGCAGCTCCAGACTGCAGACATTTTGCAGTTCTTAATTACATTTTGCAACATGTTTTTCATTGCCGCAACTCAGTATCATCTCCAGATCTAATCCGGGCCCTATATAACTGACCTGAACCACTGGGCAAAGCCCTGTGACAGACAGCTGCCTTCCAGCTAGAGAGGTGGCCGATTTATGCAGGTGCTACTTCAACCAGTTGTCAGATGCGTATGGAAATTACCGCAATTAATTGTTCTGATTTGGCAACATGTAGGGGAGAGCGCGAACGCTGAGGCCTAGCAGATTGGGATTCAAGTATCAGCCCCGCTGGTGACCAGACATACGGTTTGGGGAATGTTACTTGTCTTTGTAAGTAATTTTGGATAAGAATATTAACAAGACAAAGTTTGTAAGGATCTGCTGGGTGGTAGGTGTTCAGCCTCAATCATGATCTAACTGCCAAAGACAGAAATGACATTTTCTGACTGACCACCTCTACATTGACACCTCTACCACTCCATGTCACATTGAACCATGTTTCCTGGCAAATATTCATTACACACATTTTCTTAGCCTCTTTCCCAATACAAATACTATGCTTAAATTGTTTTTTAGAATCCACTTTTTTTTCTTGCTTTGATATCTGAATAAAACTTGTCAGGAGCTTCTCCTATTTGCCATAAACATTCTTGGCTTGAGATAATGTTTTAGTGGCCTTACCTTTATATTTTTCTGAGCATCTTTGATAGAAATTCACTTGAACTAGGAGGCTTTAACTAATTTAGGGAACTTCTTAAGCTCTCTTCATAATTACTAGGAAATGTATCCCCCTTGGATGTGTTTCTTCTGTCCCTCTTCCTTCAAAGCTCAGTCTCCATGACAAAGAAGGCCAGCGTAAGGGTGGTTCTGCTGTGCTCACTCCCTTTACATCGTAACTGCTGTTGTAGTGGTTTCATTAACAAACCAGCAGGTTCAGGCTATGTAGGTCTTCACCGAAGGCCTTTTTATAATCTTCTTGCTCTCATAGTCATCAGGTGATAATTCTCTTTTGCTCCATCTTCTGCACATGGTCACTTTAAATTTGGGCATATTAGATAAATTTTGCAAAAGTACATTAGTTTATTTAGGAACTTCACTGGTCTCTTCCCCAGGATTTTCAATTCTCCAATTTTTAATCTCTTTTGAGAGATTTTTAACAATCTTAGATGATTTCTCCTTCCAGAATCTTCTTTTCTAGAAGGAAGAGCACTTTCATGTCCTCTGAAGTTTTTAAATCTGATCTTCTAAATTCCAAAGAATTCATGTATGACTATAATCAGATAATTTTCATGAATGATCCACCATCTTTGCACTGATGATTCTAAGAGAAAAATATGAGGCCTTTGTGGGTTTGAAATATATTTTAATTCTCTATGAATCAAATGCCTTTTTTTTGTTACCTCTGATGCATGCTTAGGAATGCTATATCTTAACTAAGATCTGTTTCCATGACATGGCTGTTCCTACATTGTTCTTATGTTTTAGAGAATGTTGTGTCCAGCAAACTGGAGGCAGCTAAACACTAGGTGTGGAATTAGTTAATAATTATGTATGTATGAAATCACTAACTTAGAATACTATCGTTATTAAGCAACTATGTGATCAATAAATATGAGAGGTGCCCTCTCAGCACCACTCTTGCACAGTTAAGCCTCGAGTCCCCTGGCTGGTCCTTTCAGATCTTCAATATCTCATCATGTCTCCTCCCTTATCTGTGGGTCAGAGACAGGGAGGGACCGACAGGCCTTTGTCTGTTTAGTAATATAGCTGAATACTGAATAATTTTTTAGTGGTGGGGTAGGTAGTATCTTATTACTCTAAGTCTATGATTCTCTCCTCTGGATCTTTTCATCTGAAACTCTTTCAAAGAGCATTTAATAAATATCTCTCATAGACTCACTGTTGGCTAAACCCTCCAGTCTTCCTGCATCTTGCCAAGAGAATGTTTGTCTTAACTTCAACACATAGAGTGATCTGCGTTAACTGTGACTGAGCTATGTGGTAGGTAAGTTTTGAAAGGGCCATCCTCAGGAGCACTTCCAAATAAAACCATAGAAGAGAGATAGGAATAAACTGTTGTCCATTTTTGTGAAATCCAATCTAACTTCCCCTCCTTTTATGTGTTTGTTCTGTGTGCCAATGGGTGAGAACCAAAAGGCAGAATGCCATGGAGCATCTTTATACTGTTTTGTTTTTTAGAGGTTTTGGTGACTGGAGATGGGGTTGGTTGAATCTTCATACGTTGTCCCCTCCTTTTATGCTTCTTTCTTTCAAGTCAAAGCTCAGGATGTGGCATTGAACGTTTGATGCACAACTGTGGCAGAGATAAGAAGCTTTGGTAGCAGACAGCTATTTGAAAGACCTTGTGACTTCTCCATACTGGACACTTTTTTTTGTATCTTGTGGTATATTTTTCACATTAGCTGTTTCTTAGGATTAGCAAACCAGTGCAAACCTTGTTTCATCCCTCCCTGGGTATTTAATGTAGTGCCAAGCAAAGCACAGATTAACATATGTTTACTCAGGATTAAGGATGATTTTTTAAAAACTCTCCTGATAGGCAGTTAAGTATAATCGACACAGTTCAATGGATGCAATGGATGGGCTGTTTCTATTAGTGCCAACAACTCATCCTGAACCTTCTTTAGTCCCAAGTTTCCACAGGCTTTGTGTTATACTTCATGAAAGTCAAATGGCAAATAGCAGCAAACCGTTTTATCACGTTCTTAATTTGCCTCAATCACTGCAGTGCTGCGTATGATTGCTCCATGGCCAAGAAGAGGAGAGCAGAAGAGCACGCTTTGGGGGTCCCGGTCAATAAGAGGAAGTCCCTGCTAATGAAGCCACAGCACTACAGCCCAAACATGGACTACAAGGAAGAAAGCGAGGACAGGACAGAGGTGGAGGAAGATGCTGGCCTCCTGGAAAGCAACGATCACATGACCACAGGTAGCGAGGAGCACGGGCCTTGACTTATCTAATCCCTGGCTGCAAAGATTCTGTCCTGACTTGAGTAGAATGGACAGTCTTGTGGTTGTAAAAGTGTATTCCAGTTTGGAAGCAAAACCAAACATTTATTTACTCACGGTCCATTTATTGAGGGTCAATTTCATATCAGTGACTGAGGAGAATCTAAATATAAGCAAGAGTGAGTCCTTGCCCTGAGTCTCTTGTCAAAAGCACAGGACTGGACTGTGCCTCCTTTTGAAGAAAATACAAGATACTAAGCCTTAAAGTTGAAGAGTGCCTTGATTTCCTAATAGGTGGATGTCTGTCCCTGAAAGAAGCCTTTAAATTAAAAGGACACATTTAAGCCTTAAGATATTAAGATATGACATATGTAAATAAAACATTAAATTTTTTGTTTTATAACCATATATAGTATTATTTAACTCCCAAAAATATAACTGATAACAACAAGGACCAATGTAGGTAGACTGTGACTAAGTAATATTTTCAATATTTTAAAATTGAAGGACAAGCCAAGTAATTATTTCCCAGCTAACCATGTTCCACAGTCTGGTTCTCCAAGCTCTGACTACCCTTAGAAAGCAGATTGGTCAAAGTTTCTGTGACAGCGAATCAGGAAACCACATTTCCAAAAATGAGAGTTTATAGCTGCTCTTATTCCTGGTCAAAAGAGCAAAACTCTAAGTCACCTTCAGTCCACTGAGCAAGTTACCTGCACCCTCCAGAAGGAAGAGAGCTGAGTTAGTGCCCAAGCCCAGTACAAGGGCTTTTCACCTATTGTCTCATTAACTTCAGTACCCCCACATCTTTACCTGTCCAGCCGTGAACCTGATTGTGTCTTCAGTGAGAAGTTCAGAGGATGAAGGGAGGGTAAAGTGCTCAGGAAGGCTGAGGTCATAAGCTTGAATCCATTTAATGGCCAAACTATACCCCAGACCCTAACAGGCTATTTTCCAAATAGTCATAGGTGGGCATTAAGGGTGATAGAAAAGTGTGTGGACAAAGCCATAGAGATACATCTTCTTCACTGAGGCAAACAAGAAGATGAGCTTGAAAAGTACTATCTGGAGATGGGATGAGCACATGCTTACCCAAGGCAGACGGAGAAGGGGAGGGTTACCTTGAAGTGATATTGACCAGGTATGTGTAGTTCTCCCCAGTTTATAGCCACATGCTTGTGATTCAGGGAGATCTGTCAGTCACAGGAGCACAAGAGGCTGGGATGATACTTTTAATACATATTATCTCCTGACAAACAACCAATAAGTGATAAGCCACTCCATATTTTAGAACTTTGGAACTTGCTTTTATTCCCAGCAAAATTTAAATGTTCAAGAGGTCTGGAAAACTAATTTACCTGTGAAAGTAACTTAGTGACAGACACAGAACTAAAATCCAATTATAATAAAATCCAGTTATGTTAAAGGAGTCAAACTCAAAACATGTTGTGACTTTCAGAGGATTGTTTTTATTTGTTTAAGTTGTTTTGATGCAGAACAGCTAACACATAGCAAAAATACATTAACATAATACTTTCCAGGATTCCCAGACACCTTGGAGGAGAGACTTTGGTTTAACAAATAAACAAATGTAAACGTTTACATACTAGGCAACAATGCTTCCTTTTTTTTTGTTGCCCAGTCCCAGCCCTTCTGCCTGTCCCCCACACTTTGAAATGCAGGCAGGACTGAGCAAGGGCAGTCCTGGCTCCCCGTCCAGCTCTCCAACTGGACCCGAGGTGCACCTGGGAACTTTTTCTGACCTGTGTTATGGTATTAAGAAAGTTGAGGTAGGTTATTTGTTTTCATTTTTGCATATTTTTATTTATAATTTAGGGATTGTATTTTCACTGAGAGCTGTCAATTGTATTCTAGTATCTTCTTAGTAATTCACTCTTGAAAATAACCAAACTTGGGGCAATAATAGGCTATTAGTATTCTAAAGATTTTCTCCTCACTTCAGCCATGACATCTGACATTCCCAGGCTGTAGGGTCTGAGGGTGGCTCACGGGAGAGAGGCAGTCATGGATTTGGGAGGCACATGGCTCTGGGTCTGAATTTCAGCCCCACACTTGTTACCTGGGTGATGTTGAGCAAGTCCTGAACCCCTTAGAATCATAGTTTTCCTCTGTAAGATGGAGTAGAAATCACCTTTCTTATAGTTATATAAAGATCAAATGGATTGAAGAACTGACTGTCATGCCAGAAACGTGTCAGTGTATTGTCCTAGGATGTCATTGGATCACAGCTCTTTAAAGATGTGGACCCAGGGTGCAGGAGACCTGGGCCTGCCAAAGGTCACACAGGCAGGCAGTGCGGGGCCAGCAGCCTGGCCTTAGTCTCCAGACTCAGGGAGGGTTTCCCTCCGTGGTGTGCACTGTGCGCTGAGGCTGCAGTTCCCCCGCCCGCCCTGGTGGGTGGTGGGTGGCGCCGTAGCATGCGGTACCTGAGTGGTGAACGGGGCTGAGCCTTCCTCACACTGGGCCCTTCCTCAGGGGTTAATTTCACTGCTTATTCTAAATGAAAATCAGGCCCACCCCATGTATGTAGAAGGCCCTCAGTATCCTCTGCCATTAATCTCTTCTAAAACAATATCAAGGAAGGAGGAGACAAGCCATCGTTTGCTGCATACCTGTTGCGTGTCAGCTGCTTCCCATGTACCCCCATGTGGCTTCCACAGTGTGCCCCACCGTGTGCATAAGGACACGGCTCACGAAGTCTCAGAAACCCACTGGGGTTTGCAGAGATGAGTGCCCAGATCCAGAACCAAACCAGGTCTCTGTGACTGTAAGGGCAGAGCTCTTTCAGCTACTTCAGTGGCAAAGGCACAAAAATCTCCAGGCCATCCATGGAAATAAAAACACACCAGCATAGGAGACGCAGGCAGTCTGTTCCAAAGTTAGGAGAAACAAGCCCTTCGTCACAGATCTGCCAGGTTCAAAAGTGAACTCAACTTTGTCTTCCTTATAATCAGAGTGAAAGGCAGGTGGGGTGCGTCGGGAGGAAGCTGGTGTGCAGGTCTGCAGAACAGCCCTGGGAACCATCGTGTACGATGCACAGAGGCACCTCTATCGGCAGGATTCCACTTTTTCTGAAGAATAATTAATAAATATTTTCTTTTAGCATATAACAAACAGTTGAACCAAACAATTATGTAAACTGGAAATGACCCAAAATGCAAGCAGTTGGCAGCAGCACAGGGAGATGTATTGTCCTGCACATGTGCATTTTTTGTCACTCCCGCCTCTCTGCTGATCTGCACTTAATAGGAATATTTTAAACTATGTAGCTAAGCAACAGAGGTAATTGTTGCTTTCTAGAGCTTTTGTTAGCACTCTAACACAGCCCAAATATGCATAATTAGGTATAATGTCTATAAATCATTATTGTACACATGTGGGTAGTTAAGTGGAGTGAGAGAATAGTTCAATGAATTGAGCATATTCACTGAAAATGCTTTTTATTTGTTTTCTGTAGTTCATAATACTTTAAAATTATCATAACCCCTTTACACTTTCTCTTAATAGCCAACCGTGATATTGAGAAAAACTTCATTTGCATTTTAGACTATGTTTAATATATTATTTAAACCTGGAGTTCCTCTGATATGAATTCAGGAGAGGATAGACCATCCCATCAAGTATTATGTGCCTGTTTATCCAGCCTCTTTCCTAGGAAGTAAAATGTTAAATTTTTCAGTTTATGTTGAATAGATCCCAACAAAGGACGGCACCCTATAATCAGCATTATTTAAAGGGGCCAGTGTTGTGACTAAATTCTTCCCTTCATCCAAAAATGCTTTTAGTTACTATGGCAATATTTACTTGATCCTGGCAGTCCAGTGTTGATTTAGGGAGATAATTACCAGAAAGGAAGATGATGGAGATGTATTTTTGAGTGTCCTTGTCAGAGACAATGTTTATAAAAAAATTAAATGAGACAAAAACAGGCACATTGTCTTCTGTACAGATACCCTCTCCTGCAGCCCTCACATGGGATGGCTGTGCTTTTCTTCCCTCCAAAGATGTTTATTGACACAGAATGCACTTCACTTGGTGTCTTTAACAGCCTTTAAGGGGGCTCATTATTTTGTTTCCCATCCCCCACCTGCCTTTTGAGACACAGAAAGGCTGCTGAGGCTTTTTGTCTGAGTGCACATTGGAGGCCATGGCTGGCTCGGTGCATTTCACAGCCTGGAGTGGCTGGGTCCCCTGCTCCCCAGACTGCCCCGCACTGGGCCAGGGCTAGGCCACTGGCGAATCTGTACCCTCAGTTGTGTGTTTGCAGTGGGACAGACTTGGGTAGGCCACGTGTCTATAAGTTACACACACAGCCTGTCCCTGTGACTGGGGAGACAAGAGACCCAGTGGGCTGTCCTAGAGGACAGGCACAGGGGGCCTGTTCTCAGTCACAGGGCTTCCTGACCCTCAGGACTCCAGCAGGCCCTGCGCAGAGACAGCCAGCAAAGGTTCCACACGCTCTGGCCTCCCCCACTTCTTGTCTCGTTTCCTTTTTACACAAATGCATATGAGTACCAGGCCAGAAAATGTGCTACTATGTAAGATATTATTTGATCATGCTAGTATTTCCCATTTGCTTGCATTTTTCTTGGCCTGGGATTTTTGTGTGAAAGTTATGAAAGTGAATAGGCAGTCTCAAAAAATTGAGAATTCTGGCACTTATAATCTCTATACAGGTGTATTTTGTAGTTTAGCGAATATTCCATAAAATCTGAAAGTATGTTTGAAAAACTACAGAGGTAGTGAACATAAACCAAATAAAATATGCTGCCATGCTAACAGAAATCTCATGAATATTTCCTTCATAATGTATAGTTTTATGTATATTTGATTTCCTTCTTCTGTAGTATTTGCAAATATAAGAGGTAGAGTAACAATAATTTCACATTCAGCATTTTGTATTGTTAAGTTATATATACTTCAGTAGATACTAAAAGCATGTAGCTCTTAATATGCTGAGATTTCTAATAGCAGTTTTTGCAAAGGTAATTCTCAAAATATTAAGATCTAAATTTTGTTTTGTTTTAAGGAGGATATATATTTTTCTCCTCAGTGTTTATAAAATTGATAGATCCCACATATTCACATACTGCACATATTACCTACAGATATGTCGGTATCTGTATCTGTCTATCCATCTATCTATCTAGGTGCAGTTTACTAACGTATTTTTTGCTCCTGTGTTTCAAATGTTTGTTTTGTTTTTCCATAGAAGAAATCGTGATAAAACCTCTGGATGAGAAGCTGCGTTCAGCTGCGCAAGAAAACTCCAGCACAAAAGCACACAGATACGGCTGTTATCAAGAGCTCGTGGTCAAATCTTTAATGCACTTGGGGAAATTTGAAAAAAATCTGTCTGTCCAGCCCATGAGTGAAAACTTAAATGGAAGTGGCATCCAGTCTCTAAGAGCAGAGAGGGACGAGGTGGACGAGTGCTGTGTGACCCATCCTGATGATGGAAAAGAAGAAACTAATTCCCGGCTACCCTTCTGCTTGTCCGATGTCAGTGAAAGCGCCTCCGAAAGTGCAGAGAACGGTTGGGACAGTGGCTCCAACTTCTCAGAAGAAACCAAACCACACAGAGTTCCAAAATATATCTTAGTGGATAATAGAAAAGACCTACTGGATGTTCCTGAAATAAAAACTGAAGGCGACAAATTTATCTCATGTGAAAACACATGTGATTCTGAAACAGAAAGGAGAGACCCGCAGCATGCTCCCGCGGACCCGCCGGATGGCACGGCCCAGCGGCCGTTCTCTGGGGCGGCGGAGGAGGACCTGGCGTGTGCGGCGGTAATGATGGAAGAGCCCACTGGCCCGGAGAAAGCCGAGGGGAACTTAAGTCTGCTGGAGCAGGCGATTGCTCTGCAGGCTGAGCGCGGCTGCGTTTTCCGTAACACCTACAAAGAGCTGGACAGGTTCCTACTGGAGCACCTGGCAGGGGAAAGGCGGCAAACCAAAGTTATTGACACGGGTGGAAGACAAATCTTTAACAATAAACGTAAGACACGTTTTTGCATTTATTTTAGGAATAAAATTGCCTTAAGGGTTGGAAAAAAATTAAGATTTGATTCCTTCTTCCAGATAGCTTTTTGACAATGCAACTTAAAAACCAATACATATTGTAAAATAAACAATTTCTTTTCCCCCCCCCTACTTTCTAGACAGCTCTCAGATTAAGCTTAGTCAGTTTTGCAGTGTTTTCACATGTGACAAAGAATCATATGGTATTTTTTAAAAAGTACGTTATCAGACATGTTACAAGTACGTTAGTACTTATGGGTTTTAATTGATTACTTGTTAATTCCAGAAATTTAACTGATTTTCTCACCCTCTTTCTGGGATCATATGACTGCTTTGGAGCTTTAAAATATTGCCAAGGTACTTGCAAGTCAGGCATGATGCCTTGATCTTTCTTAGGGTAAACTACATGTTAGCATTTTTATAAGTCTGTTTCTCTAACTCAAGGCCCACAAATATCTGGGTCAAACATGAATAAGAGAGTAAACACGCTTTGCTTGTAAGACCTTAAAACGGTTTCTCTGACTTTAGGGATATTGTGTCCCCTCTGCCACAAGGGTACTCCTTCCTGCTAGTCTTGCACCAGATGGGCCTGGTGATGATTCCCATAGTTACATGGAGCTTCCCAAATGGTGGTCCTTAAGTGTCTAGAAGGCTTGTCTAAAGTGGTTGTTTCCAGGATCCCATTAGACTCACTGCTCCAGAACTTGCATTTATTTTTAGCAGGTTGCAAAGATGATTCCTGGGCACCTGAAGTCTAAGGACCACAGAATTAGAGGAGATCTTAGAGAAAACCAAGGTCAGGGCCCCCAAAGAACTTACAAGATACTGTGTTAGTATGGTTTTGCTGTTCTGATAGCTGAGATTTATGCAGAAATGGATTGTATATTTTATCATTTTGTGTCAGTTTTAGGACTCACCTGCAATCTTGTCAGTTACTGTCTTAAGCTCAGAGCTAAGAAAACAAAAAAGAATAAAATAACATCATGTAGTGAGGAGCAAGATAATAATGATTTGCAAACATGCGGCCAGGGTTAGGATGGGGACAGAATATTAATGACTAATGTGTGTTTAGGACAAGACATGGCACTTAGCTCTGTGGGTTCAACCAATATGCAACTTGTTGAACTTATCTGTGTGTGATTATTTTTAAAGAACTACAAATTCAGGGGGGAAAAAAGATGAAATTTACTTCAAATTCCATAAAGCCATAATTTCCAAAATAACTCCATTTCATTTTCTAAAATATACCATTTTCCTATTTGACCATCTCTAAAATCAGAAAGGTATGCCGTAATTTAATTTTCAATAGTTTTTTTCTTTCTTACTAGCACACAAAATGAGGTTTCATCTTACTGTTGATGACGTATTCCAGCCAATCAAGTCCAGGATTTGGAGAAGCTTTATTTGTGCTATATAAACTTTATTTATAGCTCATAATACTTGACTATCCTTTTTATATAATTCATTTTTTGGAACTTTAACATTTATTTTTGTTTTCAAAAATTAATAAGACAATAGAATCTGTGTTTGTAAACATAGGTTGTGTTGGAGGCTTAGAGAATTACAAACAGGGTTGCATGAGCCAATAGTACATCCTGTTGCATAGGGTAGTCCTGCCTTGGAGGATTAAATGCCTATGAAAAGAGATGCAGACCAGACTAGTATGAAACAGGCAAAAAAAATGTGAAGCCAGTTCTGCAGGGGACTGTACTCTTTGTCTAGAGGATGCCTGCAGAATTCAAGTTAAGTATTCACTTTCATGTTGCTTGCTCTAGATGTGGAGCCCAAGGGAATATGGGGGGCTGTTTTTCTCGGGCATGCATTCCATGCTCCTAAGTCAATACTTGTTCCAGCTGATAGCCATGCTCTCCAAAATGACACTCTAATTTCCCATACACCTTGGGCATGCAGCTCCGCTGTTACGGAAGGAACACAGGATTGTAAAATATTGTTGTACCCAAGCTTTCAGGTAAGTCAGCAATTCTAAAATAAAAAAGTTTGACTAGACTGTTGCTACTAAGCATTTAGTGAGTCTTTAAGTCCTAATATGAATAAAGTCACCATATAATCTATTGTACAGCCCACAACACTTTTAGAGTGAAGGGAAGTGATATGAACAGTCACATGAGTTTATCAGGTATGAATAAGGCAGTCCTGGGCAAACCAGGATATAAGTCACCAGAGTATAAGGTCATTATGCAGCATTTGGCAAAGAAAATAGAAGAGCCAGGCTGGAGAGCTACCTGAGAGCTCAAGCTCTGGCTTCTTATCATGCAAACAGGTTCTGCCCTGTACAGCATTGCATCAGCATCTTTGTTTCACCCAGCAGAGAGGGGGCTTGCAGACAAAGGTAAATGATGGTGTGTCATTGGACCAGACCTGGTCAGGCGCCAGCCCTGCCTTATCTCCCACACCCTCCCCGGCTTCCTATAGACAAATAGTGTAGCGAGGAGGGGAGATGCTCAACGCCAAACCTTTCAATGTGGTTTTGAAATGTGGCCTCACCTGGACAAGATCCAGGGAGGAAGGGCATCAAAGTACACATTGCTTCTCATTCTCCTTTTTAGACCTGGTCAGGCGCCAGCCCTGCCTTATCTCCCACACCCTCCCTGGCTTCCTATAGACAAATAGTGTAGCGAGGAGGGGAGATGCTCAACGCCAAACCTTTCAATGTGGTTTTGAAATGTGGCCTCACCTGGACAAGATCCAGGGAGGAAGGGCATCAAAGTACACATTGCTTCTCATTCTCCTTTTTCCTCATCCACCCTCATATCTGATATCAGCTCCTCTTCCCAATTTCTCTTTAATCAAGCTTCACAGCTTTTGACAGCCGTCTACAGATATTACATGCTCCAATCAACTTGAAATTTCTCAACATATCTGGATTAAATAAAATATATCTACAAAACCATAGAACATATCTAAAGACTTAATATGCCCCTTTGTCTCTTACCAAAGATAGAGTGTGGGCTGCACAACATGGCATTTAAATCATGTCTTTCATCAAACACGAATGGCTGCTGCTCAAGGCATCCCTATCATTTGGCTATTCCTCTCTCACTTCAGTTTATATCCTCTCTGCGGACTCTGGCCTCCCTGGCAGTGTGCCCATTAACTTGAAGGATCCTTGGCTCCTCCTCTTTTGCTGAAACCATGCCCCCAAATAATTGCATTACATACAACCTGCTGTGCCCATCTGCCCAGGACCGTTTTTAACTGGGGTGGCATGGTACCACAGAGGCCTGTCTGCTCCTCTCAACATTCCACCCTGGAGACTCTCACATCCTGACATTGCCCTGTTCTTGGTGCCATGCTTGGAGCAGGAGCATGTGGGCCCTGCATGTCCTCATGTTGCAGGGCTCTGCCCATTTCCATGCCGGCAACTTCCTCGTGGTAGGATCACACAGATCATCTGGTTTTGCTCTCAGCATCGAGTGTGTGCATGATTCTGATACCATTAGTGCTGAACAGCATCCTGGTTAGGCCTTGTGTATGTTACTAGGCTCAAGAACCCTTTATCTGACCTGCAGCCAGGTGTATGCTGGAAACTAATACCCGAGCTTGTCTGCAGCCTTCCCTGCAGGCTGCTGTCCTAGGACTGCCTGACAGTGTGTCCCACGTGCCTGGCCCTGCCCGGTTGCTCCCCTGCTCCCACACCCCATGTTCTGGCAGGCTCTCTAGACACTCAGGGGGCCTCCACTCCCTACCTCTGTTCTCTGTCTCTCTCCAAGAACATCCCCTGCCCAGCCTTCTTCCCACACCTGTTTCAGTGTCTGCATGCAGAGTACGAGCAGCAGCCCCTCCGCAGCTGCTGCACCTTGACCCACGCACGGGGCTGCCTTTGGGCCTGTGCAGTCCTGCCCTGCTCTGCACTGCTGTCTGCAGAGCATGGCACACAGTGGCATTCCCGGCCATCCTAACTCCTGGCAGACTCCCCAGCATCGAAGAGCAGCTGCTGGAGCCTGAACCCTAGGGCCACATGCTGCTGGGGACCCACAGGGGACAAGATCCGAGAGGCCCTTCTCAAATAGGGTGGCCTCTTTGTTTTACAATTTTCAGTTTGGCTTTTTCCAGACTCCTTCAATAGAAGATTGTTTTGGTTTAAATACATTCTTTCTTCCTTCTCACTTCTTTTTTCTTTTCAGGAGCCTGTGTGGTTTGGCATAGGGTTGATTTGTCATAATGAGGCTCTAATGACAATATGTGACATGACAACTTAAATCCATCTCTGCATTTTAACGGTCCCTTGCCCTGTGTAAGTCATTGCTCAGGAAACTAACAAAATTGAAAACATTTTTTGTTTCCACAGGTCTTAGTTGAGGGTCTTATTCAAGGCAATGTGAGAAGAATGTTTATGATGATAAAACTGAATAAAGTGAGACTGTCAGCCTGCAAGGCCACTCTGTTGAGTGGGAAGGGAGAGGAAAATAACCAAATGAATCTTTCAATTCAATTTCTTTGTAGATTCACCAAGGTCTGAAAAGAGGGAGACCAAGTGCCCCATCCCTGGGTGTGATGGCACAGGACATGTGACAGGACTCTACCCCCACCACCGCAGCCTTTCAGGGTGCCCCCACAAAGTGCGGGTTCCCCTGGAAAGTGAGTACTGCTTATCCCCAGAGCGCCACAGCTCCACGGCGCCATCTTCCTTCTCCTCCAGTTTGGACTTAGGAATGGGAATATAGTTTTGTCTTTCTGTGTCAAGACAAATTCCATCTCACTGGGCTTTTAATATAGCTATTAATATAGCATATTAATAGTAAATGAAGGGTACAGTAAGGCCAATAACTCAGGAGACAGCTGACACTGAGAAGAGAAATTATTATGGTTCCCAAGGGGAGGCAGGGCATGACACGCCAGGCAGGGCCTCACAGGAAGGCTCTGGGGGGGAATTGTGGGCAAGAGCCTTTACTGTGGCTTCTGTGGGAAGGAGCAGGGTAGGCAGGCTTAGGATGGGCTAGTTTGAATTCTTTCAGTGGGTTCCGGGGCTTAGGAGCTATCCGCAGTTGGCTGTTAGCTCAAGCTGGGGTTAGGGCAGGTAGAGAGTGTCCCGAAGTGGGAGAGCCTGATGAAAGTGATCTGGACAGAGGTCTCAGCACCGGCTGGTTTGCATCTGAACGGTGTTTGCTATCCCTAGGCATCAGCTCCCCTGGCAGGGCATTCTCTGCAGGGTTTTCAAGGCCCCAGAGGTCCACGCATCAGAATAGAGGTTATTACCCTGTAGACTGCAGTCTTTAATCACCTGGAGGCATGGCCTCCACGGTGTCTTAGCCTCAGTTTCTCATCTGAATATGGGAGGTGCATCATGTCACCAGTGTGCCTCCAGCTTCCCCTCTGCACACAGGGAACTGTGATATCTGTGATGTCACCCAGGACACCCTGTGGCAGCTGAGGGCACCAAGCAAAAGTAAATCTTTGTTGGTCTCTGTGAGCCAGGAAACTAGATTTTAGGGAAAAGGTGGCTTCCTAAATTTTGCAGTTAGCAATGTGATGCAACTTTGGCTTTGGGAACCTGTGTATTAAGACTCTCTTGGGTCATACAGAGCACAGTAATGGGGATGCCTTGGCCTCACTCTTTGCAGAAGCCCAGCTGTGCAAATTACTGAATTAATCAGTTTAGCTCTGCCCCATGGGATAAGCAGTCCTTTAGACTAAAGACTTGATGATCATCTCACCATAGTCTTTCACCAATAACCAAAGGCAGGGGAGGTGGGGAGAGGAGGACAGTGGACAAAAAAATCAAAACTATTGCACAAATAATGTTCTCCATCCCCTCTCCCAAGAGAAAGCACATAAATGGAAGAGGAAGATTATGAACTTTTCAGTTTAAGTTAAATGTAAGCAGAACAGTTTCATTTTAGTCTAATGTTAGCCATAACATGAGGTTTAGGGAAACTGAACCTTCAACAAGCTTGTTGCATCTAATTTTGGAAGTTCCTAAGTGTACATGAGGTTGAAGTTCACCCTGCATATCTGTGGGAGGGAGCACGGCGAATGATGTAACTAAATTCATCTGAATTAAATGTTGAGAAATGAATTTGGTCACATGTTATGTGTTTATATATATTACTCTTTTCTTTTCTGTGATATTTTGTACTTAGTTCTTGCCATGCATGAAAATGTGCTCAAGTGTCCTACCCCAGGATGCACAGGAAGAGGGCATGTGAACAGCAACCGCAACACCCACAGGAGGTAATTGTGATAAGATGCTAATTTTTTACATGACAAAGGGAAGGAGAGACCCTTTGCCCCAAGAAAAGAAGGAACTAACAGTATGTTATCAAAAATTGTTGGATCATTATCAAATATATTACCACTTGAAATCGATAAGAAATATTTTCAATGTGTGCAGAGTAAAAAAAAAACAATTACCCCATTATTTACTTTCCTAGAAAATTTCATTTAGCAGCCAGTTATGCTAACCAAAAGTGTTACATTTAAGGACTGTGGCTATTTATTCATTTTGTCATACAAATAGAACATGTTCTCTTTTGCTGTGGAACCTCTGTATAGCTGTTTTGACATTAAAAATAGTTGCTTAGAGTTTATCTTGGATACCATCCAATAAGCATTAAAAATATACAAAAGGGCTTCACTATACTATGGTTTTGACTATAAATGAGGATTAAGGTAAACATCATTTCATTTCATTGAGATTCATTTCATTGAGATCACAACTAGGTTAAAACACATAAGTGCATTTGTGTACAAATGTAGTGTGTATATGTAAATATATTTAGTGAAAATGCTTATCATTTTATCTGTACTTTATATTATGTACAGATTATATGGTCACAAGATACTATTTGACTCATAAACATATTGCCAGAAAACTTCATATTCTATACTTTCAATTTAAGCTAATACATAAAGTTAAGTGGCTAACATTTTGCTAAAGATCCTAACAAATCTTGAAATTATCATGGTAACATCTACAGCTGGACACATTGCAATTAGTGAGCACATTCTACTTAAAATACTATGAAGTTTCAGAATCAATTAGTTATTTCTACCTTATGGGATATTCTGATTTTAAAAATGAATTTAAAAATCACTTAATCGGAGAGGAGCCAAGATGGTGGCTTGAGTAGGGCAGCAGAAATCTCCTCCCAAAACCACATATATTTTTGAAAATATAACAAATACAACTATTCCTAAAAGAAAGATCAGAGGATACAGTACAACAGCCAGGCTACATCTACATCTGTGAGAACTCAGCATCTCACTAAGGGGGTAAGATACAAGCCGCGACCCGGTGGAACCCAAGCGCTCCCCCCACCCCAGCTGACTGGTAGGAGGAGAGGAGTTGGAGTGGGGAGGGAGAGGGAGCCCAGGACTGCAAAATCACCAGCCCTAGTAATCTGCACTGGGAGTGCAGACACACGTTGCATGGTGTACTGGATATTAGAGAAACGGAAAATTAAAACCTGTGAGCAGGTCCCCACAGCTGGCTCCCCTGGGACAAAAGAAAAGCAAGTGCTTTTTGAAAGTCTTAAAGGTACAGGGGCTGAACAGCTGGACAGAATCGTCCCAGCACACTCAGCCTAGCAGGCTGAGAATCCTGAGGAACTTCAGGCACCCTAACCCTCTGGGTGGCAACGCAGCTCTGAAGTCCCTCACGGCAATAAGCAGCCTGCCATTCTTTCCCCCGGCCGGTACTGCCCGACCACAGTGGTGGAACAGCTGAAGAGCAGCCATGCCCACGACAACTGCCCAGAGTCTCCTTCCAGTGCACAGCTGCCCGGGCCAAACCCAGAGGCTGCCACCGGCACACAGATGCCTGGCACAGACAGAGGAGGCTGGGGCAAGGTGCGAAGGGGCACCGCTCTTGCAGGAGAGCATACTTGGTGTGCCTGCCACTCCCCACAGGGCTCTGGGCTACCCCAAGGGCTGCCCCACCCACAGCAGCTCAGGGATTAACCTGGAGGCTGCTCCTGGTGTGTGGGTAACCAACACAGGCAGCAGAGAAGGGCAAGGCAACAAGCAAGCAGGAAGGGACTTTGTTCTCCCAGCTGACACACGCGCCACCTACCTATGACTACCTATATCACCATGAAAAGGCAGATTCATTCATGATAAAAACTCTCAACAAAAAGGGTATAGAGGGCCATATATGACAAACCCACAGCCAACATCATACTTAACAGTGAGAAGCTGAAAGCCTTTCCTTCAAGATTTGGAACAAGGCAGGGATGCCTACTCTCTCCATTGTTATGTAACATAGTACTAGAGGTCCTAGCCTTGGCAATCAGACAAAACAAAGAAATACAAGGCATCCAGACTGATAAAGAAGAAGTCAAACTGTCACTATTTTCAGATGCCATGATATTGTACATAAAAAACCCCAAAGACTTGACTCCAAAACTACTAGAACTAATATCTCAATTCAGCAAAGTTGCAGGATACAAAATTAATACACAGAAATCTGTTGCTTTCCTATACACTAACAATTAACTAATAGAAAGAGAAATCAGGAAAAAATTCCATTCACAATTGCATGAAAAAGAATAAAATACCTAGGAAAAAAACCTAACCAAGGAAGTGAAAGACCTATACCCTGAAAACTACAAGATACTCTTAAGAGAAATTAAAGAGGATACTAACAAATGTAAACTCATCCCATGCACTTGGCTAAGAAGAATTAATATTGTCAAAGTGGCCATCCTGCCTAAAGCAATCTACAGATTCAATGCAATCCCTATCAAAATACCAATAGCATTCTTCAGCAAACTGGAACAAATAGTTTTAAAATTCATATGGAACCACAAAAGACCCCGAATAGCCAGAGCAATCCTGAGAAGGAAGAATAAAGCAGGAGGGATCTTGCTTCTCAACTTCAACCTCTACTATAAAGCCACAGTAATTAAGACAATTTGGTACTGGCACAAGAACAGACCCACAGACCAGTGGAACAGAATAGAGAGTCCAGATATCAACCCAGACGTATATGGTCAATTGTTATATGATAAAGGAGCCATGGACATACAATGGGGAAATGACAGCCTCTTCAACAGCTGGTGTTGCCAAACTGGATAGCTACATGTAAAGAGAATGAAACTGGATCATTGTCTAACCCCATACACTAAAGTGAATTTAAAATGGATCAAAGACCTGAATGTAAATCATGAAACCATAAAACTCTTAGAAAAAAACATAGGAAAAATCTCTTGGACATAAACATGAGCAACTTCTTCATGAACATATCTCCCCGGGCAAGGGAAACAAAAGCAAAAATGATCAAGTGGGACTATATGAAGCTGAATAGCTTCTGTACAGCAAAGAACACCACCAATAGAACAAAAGGCATCCTACAGTATGGGAGAATATATTCATAAATGACAGATCTGATAAAGGGTTGACATCCAAAATATACAAAGAGCTCATGCACCCCAACAAACAAAAAGCAAATAATCCAATTAAAAAATGAGCAGAGGATCTGAACAGACACTTCTCCAAAGAAGAAATTCAGATGGCCAACAGACACATGAAAAGATGCTCCACATCACTAGTCATCAGAGAAATGCAAATTAAAACCACAATGAGATACCACCTCACACCAGTAAGGGCCATCACCATCCAATAGACAAACAACACCAAATGTTGGCGAGGTTGTGGAGAAAGGGGAACCCTCCTACACTGCTAGTGGGAATGTAAATTAGTTCAACCATTGTGGAAAACAGTATGGAGGTTCCTCAAAAAGCTCAAAATAGAAATACCATTTGACCCAGGAATTCCACTCCTAGGAATTTACCCTAAGAATGCAGCAGCTCAGTTTGAAAAAGATAGATGCACCCCTATGTTTATCACAGCACTATTTACAATAGCCAAGAAATGGACACAACCTCGGTGCCCATCAGTAGATGAATAGTAAAGAAGATATGGTACATATACACAATGGAATATTATTCAGCCATAAGAAGAAAACAAATCCTACCATTTACAAAAACATGGATGGAGCTAGAGGGTATTATGCTCAGTGAAATAAGCAAGGCAGTAAAAGACAAGTATCAAATGATTTCACTCATCTGTGGAGTATAAGAACAAAGCAAAAACTGAAGGAACAAAACAGCAGCAGACTCACAGAACCCAAGAATGGACTAACAGTTCCCAAAGGGAAAGGGACTGGGGAGGATGGGTGGGAAGGGAGGGATAAGGGTGTGGAAAAATAAAGGGGGGCATTACTATTAACAGATATAAAGTAGGTGGGGCACAGGGAGGGCTATACAACAGAGAAGACAAGTAGTGATTCTACAGTATCTTACTACTCTGATGAACAGTGACTGTAGTGAGGTATGTTGGGGGAACTTAGTGATGGGTGGAGCCTAGTAAACATAATGTTCCTCATGTAATTGTAGATTAATGATACCAAAATAAAAATAAAATAAAACCACTTTAATGCCACATTTAAAACCCACCTGTGAGATCGGGTTGAGGGCAGAAGCTGACACAGTAGTTTGTAAAACGCTTTGGGATCTTTTAATAGGAGAATAGGACTAAATGAACTGTTACTGTGACTTATAGTTTAGTGTTTGCCAAGTATGCTGTGAAGAGCATGGCCAAGCAAACCACATGATCTTTGTAACTCAAATCCTCCCACCTTTTTTTTTAACAGTCTTTCTGGCTGTCCAATTGCTGCAGCTGAAAAATTGGCAATGTCCCAAGACAAAAATCAGCTTGATTCTCCCAAAACCGGGCAGTGCTCTGACCAGATTCACAGGTATGACCCTCCCATGACATTGCTCATACTGTCCTCATGCCATGCACCTACCCAACAGTCTCTCCCCTCTGTGCCCTTTTACCATGGCCTGACCTAACTCTCAGCTGCCACCACCTTTGAGAGGCTGGCCCAGTTAATCCTCCTATCAACTTAAATGAACTTATAGGCCCTCCAGAAGTTTAACTTGAAATTACTCTGTATGCAAAGGTAACATAATGTGGATGAATCTAAAAGAAATAAAGCATATGATAACATATGTTAATAAAAATTCTGTGTCACTAAATGCAATCCAAACTCAAGAGTTAGGGAAGATCTCCCTTATGATCGACTTAGCCTTTCTGCATGGGAAAGTGCCATCATAAATCACTAACACCCACTGAAAATATGCAATGTTATATGTTCATCCTTCTGTTTCAGATTTACATATAGTTTCTTTAAAACAAATGCATCCCATGAGTTGGTAACTATTAATAAAATATATCCTGTTGGCCCCAGGCATTTCACAGTCACTAGTAGTTTGGAGGACCTTACTTATACCTAAATCATGCACTATGTATGGTAATGCAAGGTAAAGGTATACATTTATTAATGCTAAAATTATATATGTAGGAAAAATAATTTCAAGATTAAAATAGATGACCGGATCTTTATTGTTGCTACTAAGACTGTGTAGTGCAAAATAACGATTAGGAGTATTTTCAAGGTATGGCTTCCCTTAATATTTGCTTTTAAAGATTCAATTAAAAGAGTCAAAATTGGCATTCACATCACATTAGTGAAGAACATATGTTGAACAAAGATCATGAATTACTGAATAGCTAGCAATTAAAAATCTTATAGCAAGATTCACAGTTAATAATACTGTTTTCTCTAGTTCTCTCTAAGTTGGTTATTTGTCAAATATGGAAATAGCATTAAGTTTCATTTTGTTCATTTCTATAAAAATAGATATTGTTTTAGACTAGAACACTGATGCAACAAGAGGGCTGTAACCCAAGTTATATATGCAATGACAAGATCATTCAAGTATTTTTATGCAGCAGCTAAAAAGTTTTTTACCTAATCCACATTCTGATGAGTCAGGGATGTTTTGGTGGAAAACAAAAGAAAAACATATATATTTGATATTGCTGAATTATGAAAGGTGTATTTGTTCATGTTCTTCTAACATTAGACCACAACACAACATTTGTGTTTTCCTTGGCTGGAATTGGTGCTACACAAATATGATGCCTACACAAATATAATGTATTTGGATTAATCCAAATACAGTAATTCTAAAGGAATATTTAATTCACATTGAGCTTGGATTGGGATAATTCTATCAAAAAATGTGTTCGTTATTAAAATAGTATATAGTTACAGTCATTTTAATTCATATTGAAATGACGGCAATTTAATAAAATGATGTACTCACTAGGTACGGTCATGACTTTTCACTGCTGGTCTGATTAATAGCCCTAAGCTGCAGAATGTGCACACCTTGTCAGTGCCCTAATGCCCTAATGATGGGTACATGGCACTTTTCTCTGAGGAGCTCAAAGTGCTTAAAGACATCAAATACTTGCTCCTCATGGCTGCATAAGATGCATTGAAGCTTGCACATTCCTCTTTCACCCATGGAGTCTCTCCGACATGCAGCCTCACCAGACCATCCAGAGTTCAGAGTGCCTCCCCATTGCTCACTCCTGGGACACAGCTCTCTGCTCTGCACTGTGACCAGTACTCTTTCCCCCAATTCAGTGTCCCTGTGGGTACCTTTGGGTACGACACATCCGACCCGCTTTCAACTCTGTTACCAGTATGCTCACCAACAGTTTCATCACGTTTCCTTTGAATTCTTCCCCTCCTTCTTCAGGACAAGCTTGGTGAAGCAAATTGAATTCAATTTTCGATCACAGGCCATCCCCTCTCCCAGAGCCACTGTGTCAAAAGAACATGAGAAGTTTGGAAAAGTACCGTTTGATTATGCCAGTTTTGATGCTCAGGTTTTTGGGAAACGTCCCCTTGTACAAACAGGTCAAGGACGAAAAACAACACCATTTCTTGAATGTAAGCTTCAAATTCTAATGCTGAGTCCAAAAAAATGCTCTTGTTTATGTGTTTGTTGTGGTGGGGGGGATGTACTCAAATATGTAATATGCTACTAACTACTGGAGGGAGAGAAACTCTATTGTACAATGAAATAAAGTAAGGAAAACAACAGGAAGTTGATTAGTGTTACCAATTTCACATAAACTTACCCTGAATATGGTGAATAGTTAGTGGATTAATTATCTACAGGTATGGTACCACTAATCTAATGCAGTCATTCTGAAAAAAATACTTAATTTGCATTTACCTGGGATTGGTATTACTATATGAAAGCTGTAATCACTAATATAACACAGTAATTTTTACTCATATTGAAGTTAGGGAAACTTAATAGGTAAGATATTGAAATTCTTCTTAAAATATTACTTAAATCATCAATAAAGCTTAGACTGAAGGTGGGAGAAAGAGTGAAAAGTCTAGGAAGAAACCCACAATTCAGGAATCAAGATTTTACTAGAAAAAGTATGTATGGCTATGAAGATATTTATTTGCAAATGTAAGAATCAATATATAAACATTTAAAATGTGTTAATACTCTACTGCTAACACGTCCACATAAAATATAACACAAAGATGCTATAACATATAAAACTTGGTGGTTTTACTAACACATTGTTTCAAGTTGTTTAGAGTCCTTGAATATTCTAATAAAAAGGTAAGAAAGTGAACCCTGAGAATAAACCCAGGAATAATTTCTGCATTGTGATAACAAGTATGGTAACAAACTTCCATCTGAATGCCCCATAGACCATGAATTTTTTATAATATTCTGCAAATCCATGGAATCCTTTGATCTCACTTCAGACATTGAGTGTTCTGTGGAACACGTAATATCTGCTTCATTTTGTGGTGCTGATCACCCCTTTCAAAGAACCAGAATGCCATGTAAAACCCAGCAGTGGATAAACAGCCTTGAAGGGAGCTTGCTCATTAGGAAAAGTATATTATACTCCAAAAGATATTTTACTATTCTTACCAAAAATAGGGTCTGGCCAACACATCACCACTGAAACTTGTTAGATTCAGGAAAAAAAATGTAGACACACACATACGTATTTTCTATTATCTATCTGTAAATAAACTTATATATACACATACAGTTTTATGATACATGCATAAAATCTATCTATCTATCTATCTATCTATCTATCTATCTATCTATCTATCTATCTATATATGTTAAATTCAGGTGAAGCAAGTTAATAAGAGCACTCTGTATTTTCATGTAATGTGGATGTTGGTTTAAAAATGGAAAACATTCAGTGACATTTTCACATTTGTATAGTTATAGTAGTAACACTTGTTAATGTTTTAAACTATTCTATGAAAAATAATGATAAAATATTTAAAATAAACAATATTTACAGCTTAACAAATAACTAAGTGCTATTATATTATCTCACATTAAATCTTAGGTGATTATCCCTTAACCTTGAGTAATGTTTACAAATACGTAGAGTGAAGAGAAATACATTCAATTCTTTCTCTCCATAATACCTTGGTGCCCACTACAGAAATGTAAAACAGAAACTCAGCCTTGATAACTAAATTGCCTTTCCATGCACCCTGAGAACATTTACTCTGTCCTTTATTTAACGTGCTTTACCTGAATATGCAAAATGCCAGCTCATTTAAAGGCTCCACCATCTATTTGGTTCCATCTCGCTGGATGAAGAACAACTTCTACTGGTTTAAGTACAAAACAAACCTGCATATCAAATAATAACAATATAATTCCATGTCTAAGTATACACTGTGCTTATGAAAACAAATATTGAAAGGTCCATTTTTCTATACTGGAGCTCCCGGTCCTCACACATGCAGTTTGTAGATGTACAAGTCTTAAGCCTTTGGAGACCCTGATAGGTTTTACTAATGTGGTTTTTAATCCCCAGTTTTTTCACAAACACTCCCAGGGCACCTGCCCCATAACATTAGTTATGGAGTTTTTGTCATAAGACATGTAAATACAAAAAATATTAAGAGAACAGGCATTCCTCCCAGCAATCACAATATCAGTTAATTTATTCAGAACCGATCTGAATAACCTTCATTTAATGTACCGATGGACAATGTATCATGTTTTAATTTATTCTTCCCATATTTTAATGCAAGAAGTTGTATCTTTAAAACAAATCTGTGTAATGACTAACACCATGTACATGCAATTGCTAATCAAATCTCTCTTCAACAGCAAGGCATTTTTCAAGTCCAGGGAAATTTCCTAATCGACTGCCTAGTGCAGGCGCCCACACACAGAGCCCTTGTCATGCCAGCTCTTACAGCTACGGTCAATGTAGTGAAGACACCCACATAGCAGCAGCTGCTGCCATCCTGAACCTTTCCACCCGCTGCAGGGAAGCTGCAGACATCCTCTCCAACAAACCACAGAGCCTGCATGCCAAGGTAGGCCAGTCCAAGAGCCCGGAGGGTGGGCCAGCGACTGAACCGTGAGAATAAACTGCCTTTCATGTTCTTAACCACATTCACCACCACGCCGTTCCCTACCCCTCAAGTACGTCCCCTCCTTGTCTGAGGAAGAGACTCGAGCAACATTGACAGGGAGAGCTCGGTGGGCTCCAGCAGGGATGAGAGTGGCTGTTCTTGAAGATGGTGTGCCAAAGTCTGGAGAGAAGTGAGATACGGAGCCTGGTTGGGGAGATTTATAGATTTCAAACCTAGTTTTTGTGCTGGGGACTTTGGCACCCAAGACCAGAGGGTTGCCCTTAAAGTCAATGAGAACAAAGGAAGCTTCTGCTCTCTGTAAATCAAAGAGGGCAGGAAATGTTTGATTAAACAGTGACTGATAAAACGTTTGCAAAATTGACTCATGAAATTTTATTATTGCACATGTTACTATTGTATAACATTAAGACAGTTTAAGTTGCTGTGGTTTTCTCAAAGGGCATGTAGTAAAACCTGGAATCAGCAAATCAACAAGAGATGGTACAGAGGGACTGGAGTTCAGGGCACTCAAATTCCAAACCAAATTCTGTAAAGTTTGAGAAGATGCCACATTTCTGAAGCCCAGAAATTGATCACATATCTCTAAGAAATAAGAAATAAAATAAAAAAATTGTTTTCCTGTTTAGATGCTAAAGCCAGCTGAAATAAAGTGCCCAGGCTTACTTGGAGAAGAGACTTTACCCTTGCTTTAAGTGGAAGATTCCCTGGTTAGATCTAGCCCTGAAACTCAGGCGATTAGAGTGATAGCTCCCTTTTCCCCCGCCGAGCACCGCCCGCCCCATCTCTGGTGTGGTCAGCTGCTCACCTGTGCCATGCCAGGCCTTCAGGAGAGCAGAGAGCGCAGTGCCATCGAGCATTGGATAGAAGAATCGGAATTAGCTTCTGGACAAATCCGAGCCAAGTAAACCCCAGGAAGAGTTGACAGCCAGAAACCACTCAAAAACAATTTTTAAACAAATGAGGTTCTTAAACAAAGAAAAACATATCCTTTAAGGAATATAAAGGAGATACTAAGCTATCCAAATTCAAAGGAATCCAGTTCAGAAATTATTTGTAAGTGAATGATTTAGGGTACTTTAAAATGCAACTTTGGTTATTTTTAAATTCATTCTTTGATTCAAATAAATGTCTCCATTTTAAAGGGATATTCTAATATGCAGCTAGTTGGGGAAATGTTAAAATATCTTCCTTCTCAGTGCTTTACTTTGTTAGTTGAGGCTGTCCCAGGAGGTAAAAGCACTAATCTGTAACTATGCTACTGAAACTACTTGAGTAAGTGGCTGTGGAAGGAATGCTCTTCATCTGCACATGTAGATATTTTTTGGTTCCTCTGAATTCTGCCCTTACCTTCACATTCTCTGCCTTTTGCTAGTTGCTAGAGCCAAACAATGAATTGAACAAAGACTACTAAAATTGTAGGGTATTTTCTCAGGCCAATACATATGTTCTCCTTTTCAAAGACATTTCTGATCAGGAAAGTGATTATTAAATTGACATATTTCAAAAATTCACGTCCTTGACCCCTGGTGTACTCTTTCTCTCCTATTGGGAGTGCTCTGTGTGGTCAAGGCTGCTCTATAGAGCACACACACCTGCCCAGGGTGATGGTACCCCTACTGCATGTCTCAGCCTCCAAACTGCCAACTGCATCTTACCTGCAGAAACTAAGCCATGGAGGTGACGATGAGGATGGAAGAGACAGAATATGTACTGATTGACTTTTAGAAGGAATTTGTTAAGCTGGCAGTTATAAAAACTGTCCTCCCATGAAAACTATCTCATTTGACATAGTGGTTGTTAAAATAGGACAGATATGGCACCCTGTGATGCCACTTTGTGCAGAATTCTTCTCTTGGGCATGCAATTGCACACAACCTTAACAATGTGCAGAATTTGGTCCTAGTTGGATCCTACTTTCTGAATATAAAAGAGAACCTCATAAATTCCTGAAACCCCAGAATAATTCTTGTAGCAATAAATGAGAAAAAGCCAAAGTAATTAACCCTGCAAAGTGGCCTCTGATCAAACGGTGCCCAATGTGAGCCTTTTCTATTGTCACTGTTGCACTTTGCTCTGTGTCTTTTATTTAATGTAGGATTAGGCATAGACAGTCTTCCCCTCCGCACTGAATACTGGCCCGATCCTCTATCCACTATGATTTGGTTTTTCCTCCAGGGCATGTTGTTAGGATGTTTATTTGTGCTAGTAAAATCCAGAGCTCTTGAGTTCCTTATTTAGAAGGAAGGATGCAGAGACATACAGCTTTCCCCACTTGTGACTTCTATCCTGAGCACAGAAACATTTCTGATGTCCTGAGAGACATTCTGGCCCATGGGCACTTAGCTGTATTATCTGAAAGGTCTGTGCTTGCTGGGCTGCTCAGCCACAGGTTAGATTCTGCATAGGCCCTACCTTCAAGGAGCTTATAGACAAAGCTGGACAAAAGAAGGGCTCCAGGTGAAGTGCTAGGTTTTCAGAGGTGCCATTCCTGATGCCCTAGGGAGGCATGGGATTTTTAGGGAATTTGCTTAGAACTTGGGTGAGAACTGATTTCTTTTTTTCTTTCTGCCTCCATCTTGTCCTTTCTTTTATGTAATGAGCTTCTCTAACATTGCTTAGGAGCCCAATAGGAGAACACATTACAGATCATGCTGTCACACATTGGCACAACCTTTTAAAAATCAAGCCAAAGGGGACTAACCTTGACATTGCCTCAGACCACTTGTCAGCAAGGGCTAATACAGATTTTTTTTCATGCTATGTGCAAGTTCACAACTGGCTCACAAGTTCAGTGGGAGATCTGAATTCATGATTTGCAAAATCTCTCCTCTCACAGAAGGCAACGCCTTCAGAGAGGTGAGAGAATGAGTTACTTACACACTTGAAAAAACAATGAAGGATGAAATGGATATTCCAAAGGGACCCCCTTTGGAAGTTTCTCAGGCTGAGCAGCTGTCCACCCAGCAGTAGGCTCCTTCGGAGGCCCCTCTCCACACTGCTGAGGAAATCAGTGCTCACACTGCCCATCACTGCCTAAACTCCAGTCCAGTCACTCCTGAAAGTAGGTCTTAAAAGGAATATTGGAATATTTATAAATACAATCTGGCATGTTCACCATATATCTATGCCACCAAAATTGCCTCTGTGTGTTCCAAGTATCTCTAAGTAATCAAGTCAGGAGAAAAACTTAGTAATATCAGTAGTATTTCATGGATATCACAGTGGTTAAGGGTAATTGTGTCTGAACTATGAGCCCTCTCTTGTTACTAGATTCTAAGATTTGTATAAAGTCCTTTATTTTAACTTGGAATTAAACTGAGTTTGTCAAACATACATGGACCACAGCTCCAAATGCTCCGCCTTCAGGCTGGTGACTATTGCTGCTGATGTGAGCACAGCGTTCTGCCGGGCTGAGCAGCAGGCCGGGAGCAAGCACCCTGGGGGTGCTCACCCTGCTGCGTGCCCCGTCCGGCGGCAGGAGGGCGTATGCAGCCCGTGTGCCAGCACATGTCACAGAAGTGCACCGTCTTCCTTCCTCCTACCCTCACCCACAGAGGTAGGAACATGCACACAGCCTATCTTTATCCTAACCGATGCTGCTTGCCAAGCATTCTGTTATTTGTTTTGGTGTTTTCCCACCTGTTTAGACAAAGTGGCATATGCACAGTGTGCCTTAAAAGAAAACAAAAAATTGACACTTGCTTGAAATGTTTTAAGTTCAAAGTCTGTTTTGTGCTTGAACAAGGCCTAGAAACAACATGATATCACACCAGCATTTCTCCTGGCTGGTATCAGAAATAGCCTGGTGGCACTTGGGATGGTTAGCATCCAAAAGCAGCCTTTTTCAGTAACTTTAACATCCCATCAGATTAAACCATATATTGTGAGTTAAATATGAGGGACGTGACTCAGGGACTGACTGACATAGGTGCAAGGAAACTAGACATTTCATAACTGCCTCTTCACCTCTGTGTACAGTAGTTAGAGATGCCTATTGTTATTAGAATATCCAATCAGATTATTATTATTAGTGGTTATTATTGAACACCTATTATGTGCCAGACATTGTAAATAAGCACTCTGCCTGTATTAATCATTTTTAATCCAAGAACTCAGCAAGGCATGGCACACATTATTATCCCATTTTGCAGGCAGAGAAACAGTACTATGGTGATATTAAATCATTTTCTTTGAATGGCACAGCTGTAGCTGGTGGAGCTGAAATTTGAATTCACACCTGCCCAACATCTTTTCTTTTTAAAGATCTTATCATTTCATAGTTTATTGATGGCTGCCCCATCCAAGAGTTTTCACTGACTATGATTCCAAGTCCCAGACAAAGAGTTTTGGAAAATTGTTATCAATTGAATTTCAATTTTCTACCCATCAGCTACCTATTTTTCCTCTGAATTCCATCATTCTATTTATACTGAGTATGTTTCACAAGTTTATACTCTTAATATTTTTAATCATCAATAACTATTTGGTAAAAATAAGGTATTTTCATTACATCTGTTTATTGTCAATATCCTGCCTACTTTGAAAACATATTTCAGGTAGCTTTTAATATAGAAAAGATACTCCCCCCAAACTACATCCTGAAACAAAATGTAAGAACAAGAGTTGGAAGGTGAAAGCCAGGGCTGAGGACACTTCATTTTTCCACTTCTTATTCATGAAGTCAAAAAGGAAAGGGTGTTGGGTGACCTATCTTGTATTAATAGAAATCTTGACAAATTAGGAAAACGGTGTTTTATTACATCAATGTTTTGAAAGGAACTCATTTCACAATCAGCACATTTAAGGCAAATTTATAACTTTGCTTTTACTTCATCACCACCTTTGAATGTATGAAAACTTCTATTTGTTGCAGCAATATGATATTATCCTTTGCCTGGAAGCTACTGGGGGGAAACAGCCATACGTCTATCCTCTAAGTACAAGTACAATGATGTCTGTGTTTTCCTTTTTGTTCTTCAGAAAAGAAATTTCTGTCTTTTTTCCCATTTTTGTAGAAATGCCAGGTCGTTTCCTGCATTCAGTAATATAAGTCTTCCCATTGTGGCAACAGTCTTCATGCTTATCACTTTGCTGGTTGCATAATATGCCATTAAGTAATGGTAGCATAATTTCATTAATCATTTTCCTGTTGGCAGATTCTCCCTATTTTATAGTACAGATAAGGGTTATAATGAATAATTATTTCAATGTTCAGTTGAGTAGTAATTTATAATATATTTTTAAAATTACCTTTCACTAACAATCTCCTACATGCATAAAATAAGCTCCTTGAAGGCAAGAACAATATATTTTTCAGTTTTCTTTTCCCCTAAGTGTAGTAGCTTGGAGATTAAGTGCTTTCCCAATCATGGAGTAAATAAACAAATCAGAGGTAACTTCTGTAATTCATAAGTGGCTAATCTTTATTGTGACTCCTAAATTGGAAAGAACATGGGTAGTGTTCACCTAAGTCTACCCTCAAAAAAAATAATATTTAAATTTAAATGATGAAAATCAGGACCCTAAACCACATTTTGAGAAGTCAGAATGTTAGAAGTTGGGGAGGATAGGGAGGCCCAGGCTATTGCTCCACCAGCATCTTTTTGTCCTGCCATTTGGAGCTTCAAGCACAGAGAGAAGTGATGTGAATTGATACTGCTCTGAAAAAGAGTCCACGCAGTAAATGTGGGATCCACCCAACTCCGGGCAGAAAGGAACCATTCTCTGGTGCTGTGCGGTGCTGTGTGTAATTGTTGAATGCATCTGCGCGCTCACTTAAAGCCCATCTGTACCCTGCTGCCCAGGCGAGCCTCCGCATTCGCTCCCCAGCAAGTCAGGTGCTCAGAGCAGCCTGCTGGAGAGGGATGTAGAAGGGGGTCTCTTTTCAACATTAGCAGTAATTTTTTTCCAGTCAGCAGGTGATTACTCAAGATGTACAGTCATTCACAACTGTGACACTCTCATTTTTAAAAAATTTACTATTTGGAATTTCTTCTGTAAAAATGAAAAGACATATTAGTGTTGTCTTAGAATAGTTGATGTTTTTTTCAGTGAGCGCGAATCTGCACTATTTATGGGTTTTGCACTATAAAACTCTGCAGCCCAGTCACATGGCTTCTTTTTCCTAAGCCATCTGTCACAGAGGTCTGGAATTTTATGTGAATGTTGGTTGTGCAGTCTTAACCCAAATTTTTAACTTTTTTATGAAAAATGTCAGCAACTACAATATTTAGCATTTTACTTTACATTGGCCATTAAACTTGATTACTATAGCTCTGTTTCATTGCAATAGTTACATATCAACTATGAAGCCAAAACTTGTTTTGATGTGCCTAAGGCAGAATACATTATTGTATCATGGAGAGAGCACATGGCACTGATATGGTTAATATCTTGGATTATTTTTAACTAAGATTTATTAATGCTGGTATAAAAACGTATTTGATATTATGCAGATGGCATAAGATGTTGTGGTTACTAAGTTATTATCCTGGATAAGCTGTACTGTCAAATTCAGAGATTAAAACTATCACAGGAGATTAAACTATTTACTAAAAAGGACAGAAAGATATGGCCAAAGCATCTTAGTACAAACATTTTAGAAGTGTATTTACCTCCCACAAATATAATAAAGCATGTCTACCTCCTGCGCCAAGAGCTTGAAAATAGGAACTTTTCAGGTAAAACAAGCAAACAGAAGAGGTGCTTTTATTTTCTAAACCAGACAAAAGCAGTGGGCCTCTGGAGGCCAGCTACCATGGCCCACACCTCAGGGACTGCCCTGGGGAGGGAGTTGGACAGAGTGTAAATTGGGAGTTAAAATTAATCCCTTGGGAATTTACTGGCTATCACATATTCAAAGAAGATTCTAGCTTTGCCAGCCAAAAGGAAAAGAGTAGAGGCATTGTCCAGAAGTTAATTGTGTGTTGATGGACGATGGCAAATACCAGAAAGTATTCATTTGACCTACTTAGGAAAATGACAGGTATGTCTTTCCCACGTTCTGAGAGCTATTGCAGCCAGGTTCACGAATGACACCATAGCAGCCACCCCATAGCAGGGGTCCTGTCTGAAGATCCAGGGCACATGGAGTTTGCTGGGACTTGAACCTTAAAAAAAAGAACTTAGCCAAAGGAAAAATGTTGTGAAGTGTAGTTAGTTTTAAATCTCATATTATCTGGAAAACAACCACCTTCATCCTGAAGTTTTCACTGTAGAACTTGAACTGCACACAGGCCTGCCAGCAGGTACTGTCTCAGTGCCTCCAGAGTGAGCTAGTTTGCACTGTTTCTGTTCTCCTGCTCTCCAATTTAATAAAGCTTTTCTGGTTCAGGTTACCCCAGGTAAAATGTCACTTTCATGTTAATCTAATATTCCCATAAAATTCGCTTCCAGCTGGTTATTTTGGCATATTTCTCATGTTAGATTAACATTGTGATTTGGGTGTTGGTGAGTAGAGGGAAGTGGTCTGTGCCTTTTTATAAACTCAAGTGTGGCTGCTTTAAATGCTGAATTGGGAGTGATAATTCTGCAAACCAGAAAAGAAGATTTAAAGCTAACCTTTGAAAATATATATACAATAGGTTTAGCCAGTGCATTTAGTATTTGGAACATCTTATTTAAATTAGGATTTATTTAAATGCAGAAACACAAAGCTCACTAATGGGGCTGCTCACTAAAAGTCTGCCTAAGAATCAAACATGAACCAAAGTAAATCAGAAAGCTAGATTTAAAATCAGATATACTTCCATAAAAGCTTGCATTTAAAACGATCCCTTAAAATCCCCACATGGCCAGGCTATAACTGCAAACTGCTTAAATGTTTTTCTGTTTCCTGTTGTATACCAGGGACCAGAGATAAAAGTGGATGAAAATGGCACATTGGACTTAAGCATGAAAAAAAATCGACTCCTGGACAAGGCTGTGCCCCTAGCTTCCTCTAACACTTCTATCCCGCCTCCTTCCTCTTCCCCTCTCAAAGCAAGTGGTATCTTGGTCAATGGGGCCTTCCGCCAGAGCCTCTGTGGTCAAGAGGGCTGGGATACTCCTGTCAACTATAGCAAAACTCACGGGAGGACAGAGGAAGAGAAAGAGGTATTGTGTCAATATGTCCAGAAATTTAAGACAAAGCATGATCAGATAGCATTCTTAGCTGTTCTCCTTAATTGTTTTTCACATTCCTGTTTGGCTGTACCTTGTTTTAGATGTTGGTAAAGTGACCATTTTAAATTTCAGAAGAAATTGACAAATGAATCCAACTTCTCTTGTCACTTGCCTAAGATACTATGTCATTTATCTGCATTATGGCTGCCACTGTGTGCACTGCCTAAGAGACTGTGGCCTCTCTCCATTTGGATGCAGCAGCCTGTAACTGCAGTGTCACTGATGCTGAAACGCCATCTCACTGCTGCTTCTGAACTGGAACGTAGAAGATGAAATTAGGAGCAAGTAAGAATCAGGTCAAGCCCACGTCCTCAGTTTTGCAAAGGCCCTGTGTTAGCTCACCTTTGTATAGAACCATTGTCCAAGGTATTGAATCAGCAACATTGGGTATCTAAGTTTATCAAACCCAAAGTCAAGGAGCTGCATTCACATGTTTGGTTTTCTTTGGAGGAAGCGTCCCCCCTTGGCCAGGTGTCACACTGTGCAGGAGTCCATGTAGCCTTCATTTTCACGGTTTTGGTCTGATTAGCCATGACTTAGTGTCATGAAGAACTCATGGCCAGAACCCTCTGTCATTTAGACTAAATCATTGCAATTGTGGCCCTACTTATTATAGCAAGTGATTCTGTTTTACTGTATGTCAAGGAAGTTGTTAATACTTGCCAGTTGATATATTTAAAGAAGTGAAATAGCTACTGTCTTTAGAAGGGTGCACCACCTATTTCAGCTTTTTGAAGTTCAGGAACTTTTGGGGGAAGACTAATTTGGTTTTGGCATATGCTTGAATATCTCAGAGCATAAGTTGACCTAAACAGTAGTGATCACAAGATGGAGTGGTTTCCAATTTCCTTCCCTCCCTCTTCCCTTCCGTCTCTGTGCCACCTCCCCACGTCTCTCCCTTCTTCCTTCTGCATACGTTCCTGGTGTCCCCACAGCCAGGCAGTGAGATAGGTCCTGAGGACACAGCACCAAACAGGACATGCTTCTGCCATACGTATACTTGGTCTGGGAGAAGTGACATGTAAGCAAATACACTGATAACACAGCGGCACGAGCAGGCACAGAAACAGACAGGAAGGAATGGCCCACTCCACGTGGGGTGGTGGGGATGGGGGCCTCAAGGAGCCTCCCAGGACACAGGGAGGATATGTGACACCATCGCCCACACCATCCCAGAGAAGGGTGATGGGGATTCACAAACCAGCAGTTTCTGACTAGATTCTGCCATATTGTCTTAGTCATTTTGTTGTACTTGGCTTCTTAAAATTCACCTGAAGTATTTAGGGAGGGTTAATTAATCTATCATAATACTATTTAGAAGAACCACTTCTTAAATAATATATTTTTAGGGTCCTGTCTGAAGATCCAGGGCACATGGAGTTTGCTGGGACTTGAACCTTAAAAAAAAGAACTTAGCCAAAGGAAAAATGTTGTGAAGTGTAGTTAGTTTTAAATCTCATATTATCTGGAAAACAACCACCTTCATCCTGAAGTTTTCACTGTAGAACTTGAACTGCACACAGGCCTGCCAGCAAGTACTGTCTCAGTGCCTCCAGAGTGAGCTAGTTTGCACTGTTTCTGTTCTCCTGCTCTCCAATTTAATAAAGCTTTTCTGGTTCAGGTTACCCCAGGTAAAATGTCACTTTCATGTTAATCTAATATTCCCATAAAATTCGCTTCCAGCTGGTTATTTTGGCATATTTCTCATGTTAGATTAACATTGTGATTTGGGTGTTGGTGAGTAGAGGGAAGTGGTCTGTGCCTTTTTATAAACTCAAGTGTGGCTGCTTTAAATGCTGAATTGGGAGTGATAATTCTGCAAACCAGAAAAGAAGATTTAAAGCTAACCTTTGAAAATATATATACAATAGGTTTAGCCAGTGCATTTAGTATTTGGAACATCTTATTTAAATTAGGATTTATTTAAATGCAGAAACACAAAGCTCACTAATGGGGCTGCTCACTAAAAGTCTGCCTAAGAATCAAACATGAACCAAAGTAAATCAGAAAGCTAGATTTAAAATCAGATATACTTCCATAAAAGCTTGCATTTAAAACGATCCCTTAAAATCCCCACATGGCCAGGCTATAACTGCAAACTGCTTAAATGTTTTTCTGTTTCCTGTTGTATACCAGGGACCAGAGATAAAAGTGGATGAAAATGGCACATTGGACTTAAGCATGAAAAAAAATCGACTCCTGGACAAGGCTGTGCCCCTAGCTTCCTCTAACACTTCTATCCCGCCTCCTTCCTCTTCCCCTCTCAAAGCAAGTGGTATCTTGGTCAATGGGGCCTTCCGCCAGAGCCTCTGTGGTCAAGAGGGCTGGGATACTCCTGTCAACTATAGCAAAACTCACGGGAGGACAGAGGAAGAGAAAGAGGTATTGTGTCAATATGTCCAGAAATTTAAGACAAAGCATGATCAGATAGCATTCTTAGCTGTTCTCCTTAATTGTTTTTCACATTCCTGTTTGGCTGTACCTTGTTTTAGATGTTGGTAAAGTGACCATTTTAAATTTCAGAAGAAATTGACAAATGAATCCAACTTCTCTTGTCACTTGCCTAAGATACTATGTCATTTATCTGCATTATGGCTGCCACTGTGTGCACTGCCTAAGAGACTGTGGCCTCTCTCCATTCGGATGCAGCAGCCTGTAACTGCAGTGTCACTGATGCTGAAACGCCATCTCACTGCTGCTTCTGAACTGGAACGTAGAAGATGAAATTAGGAGCAAGTAAGAATCAGGTCAAGCCCACGTCCTCAGTTTTGCAAAGGCCCTGTGTTAGCTCACCTTTGTATAGAACCATTGTCCAAGGTATTGAATCAGCAACATTGGGTATCTAACTTTGGGTTTGGGTATCAAACCCAAAGTCAAGGAGCTGCATTCACATGTTTGGTTTTCTTTGGAGGAAGCGTCCCCCCTTGGCCAGGTGTCACACTGTGCAGGAGTCCATGTAGCCTTCATTTTCACACTTTTGGTCTGATTAGCCATGACTTAGTGTCATGAAGAACTCATGGCCAGAACCCTCTGTCATTTAGACTGAATCATTGCAATTGTGGCCCTACTTATTATAGCAAGTGATTCTGTTTTACTGTATGTCAAGGAAGTTGTTAATACTTGCCAGTTGATATATTTAAAGAAGTGAAATAGCTACTCTCTTTAGAAGGGTGCACCACCTATTTCAGCTTTTTGAAGTTCAGGAACTTTTGGGGGAAGACTAATTTGGTTTTGGCATATGCTTGAATATCTCAGAGCATAAGTTGACCTAAACAGTAGTGATCACAAGATGGAGTGGTTTCCAATTTCCTTCCCTCCCTCTTCCCTTCTGTCTCTGTGCCACCTCCCCACGTCTCTCCCTTCTTCCTTCTGCATACGTTCCTGGTGTCCCCACAGCCAGGCAGTGAGATAGGTCCTGAGGACACAGCACCAAACAGGACATGCTTCTGCCATACGTATACTTGGTCTGGGAGAAGTGACATGTAAGCAAATACACTGATAACACAGCGGCACGAGCAGGCACAGAAACAGACAGGAAGGAATGGCCCACTCCACGTGGGGTGGTGGGGATGGGGGCCTCAAGGAGCCTCCCAGGACACAGGGAGGATATGTGACACCATCGCCCACACCATCCCAGAGAAGGGTGATGGGGATTCACAAACCAGCAGTTTCTGACTAGATTCTGCCATATTGTCTTAGTCATTTTGTTGTACTTGGCTTCTTAAAATTCACCTGAAGTATTTAGGGAGGGTTAATTAATCTATCATAATACTATTTAGAAGAACCACTTCTTAAATAATATATTTTTGACTCTACTAAATACATAAAATTCCAGAGGCAGGTTTACTTTAAGTGATGCCCACAAGCCTGCAAACATATCTCCTCCTTCTTCCACATTGCCCCTGCCATTTCAGGCTTGTGCAAAATAACAGAAGTTGCACCTAACCCCTCTATTTTCATAATCCAGAAATGTGTCAATATTCACATTAACTGATCCTTCTGTACAAAGTAGCCTGAATGAAAGTAAGGAGGGCGTGGCAGGTAGTCAAGAAGCACACTCACAGTGAGATCCAGATTGCTGATTCAACCCACCTGGAGCAAGTCAGCGTTAGAGAAGGACACCCCTCCATTTCACAGACAACTTAATCTCCAGCCATTGATTGACATGTCCCACTCCACACCACTAGAGGGGAACCTAATTCTGGTTACAAGATCCTGATGGGGGTTCAGTAAAAGTCACATGTTACATGAAGGACAGTGCTTTGCAGAGTAAGCATAATTGTACCCCTATTCTTGGATGAATCCTGCGAGGATAAACCCCACTGTGTTTGGGAGCTTCTCAATGTCAGGTGCAGGGTGGGACTGACTCTGTCCTCATTCTTGTGACTGCTGTAAATGGGCTACTGTCAACATGCACCAGGAAACTTCCTTCTGTTTCTACACAGTGTCAGACATATGGATCCAGCTCTGAGTTGTAATGAAGCAAGTCTGGGTCAAGTGATATCTCATTTCCATTTAGGGTCTCTTGTGTCATTTGAGTTACAATTTTGTGCTCTTACTTGTAATGTCAATCCTGCACCCCTTATATTCTGAGAGAGTACTTCCATGTGTGGGTCTACTAAGTCCCTCAGGATCCCTTTGGCTATACTTCTTATCACTCAACCAGAAAATGAGGTCTCATAGCAAATATTTTATCTTTATTTCCAATCTCATTTTTTGCACTATTTCAAAAAACATCTGGATTTACCTTGTCAGCTTTATGGATTCAACTGGGATTATGTCCTTATCCAATGCTTATATATCTGTGACAGCATTTTGTTTCCCAGGAAATTTATGGGAAGAAATGTATTTGTTTAGATTAGATTTCTGCTCTTTTCAGAACAGCTTTCTTACACCAGGTCTGACAGAACAGACTTCTACTGTTACAATTTGCAACCTAAGTATTCTGGAATCAAAAATTGAGAAACTATGTGGAAATTCAAGGTCACTAAGAGGATTTGGAGATGCAAAGTGAGTTCTTGGAGTTGAAGTGTTTACCCTTCATTTGAGGTGACAAAAATTTTTTAAGCTTGATGCTGTTGTCACAGTTACCTGAGCATGGTTGACCCATGGTTTGGTGAAGCCATAGCTGATGGGGACATACACAAAAGTGCCTCTAAATCACTGGGAATCCCTAGAACAGCTTCTTACTTGTTCTTTGTTCCTTCATCCATGCCAAGGACCTCTACTGATAGAGAGTATTTCTCACATCCTGCTCTGAATCTGGAAAATGAAAAATGTGATATTGGATAGTTATTATTTTGTAAGGGCAAATTTTATTCAATGTCCTCATTATGAAGGTAGCAGAGGGATGCCACATTCAGTAAGAATAAAAATAAGGGATCATTACACACAGTGTCTCTTTATCCTAACTATCTTGAAAAGCAGGATTCTTGTCAATATTTTTAGAGGAGAAAACTGAATCTCAGGGAGGTAAGGCATTGGTCCTTGGTCATACAGAAATTAAGTAATGCACCTGGGCTTCCCTAACATGAAGAAAAAGGAGAAGGGAGAAATGAACAGAGGAAAAGAAAAAATAGCAACAGCTAGGGAATAGTGAGAAAAATTAGAAGGAAAGAAAAAAAGAGAATAGTGAAGAAATGGCACTTGGCAAGATGTGGTGGAGGCAATAATGGTCTATGGTGCCTCTCAGAACAGCAGAACTGAACTTCCCTGACCCTGACCTGCAGGAGGTGGCCTCACAAACCAGGTAAAGGGACTGGTCCATGATTGCCGTTTCCCACGAGCTCTGCCAGGAGGCTGCCCCAGGCCCAGGCAGTATACTGTGAATGGGATCTGATTCTGCTCCCACAGGCCCACCACCAGCACCTCCCAGACCCCAGCCCATAGGACACACACACACACACACACACACACACACAGAGAGAAATTGAGTGATTATTTCTAATTCATTGTTATCTAGTTCATATGCACAACAGTTGCTTAATTTTGGTGGCAATTGTCGGAAAATATTGTCTGTCTCTCTCAGTGAAATAGCCTGTCCAGATGCCCTCTAAAAAAAAAAATCCTGAATCTGGAAGAAACTCAAAATATCATGAAAGGAAAGTATTGAGAAATAACTAGGGCTGTCAGTTTCATTCAACTGTCAGTTCTCCAAAGATTTCAGAGCTTAAAATGTTAAAAGTGCCAGATGCTATTATCTGTTATTCATTTTACCATTATGTTCTGGTCTTTACTGAAATCAATATAAACTTCCATCTGTACATTAAAGGAATTTCACTGCGCCCATATACTCTGTGAACACACACATATATGCCACATTCTCTCTTACATAGCCACAGGATAAGATTATTATTTTCAAAGTGACACTTTAAATTTTGAACAAATTCTTGCAAATTATATTGGCTTATTTTTTACTGGGTGCTAGTTAGGAATTTGTTCAAAATAAAATGCTCCTGTAAGAAAATTAAGAATTCTTATAGTGGCATCACCTGTATTTTAATATGTATGCTCTCTGCAAGTTTCCAGGAATAGTATGCTAAGCAAAGAAATGGGAAAGAGGCAATTATTTCATAATATAATTGCATATATGAGTCCACAGTTTTTAAAAGAAGATATGAAATATTTAAAAGGTCATATCTAATAAAACTATCCAATTAGAGCATTACCACATACTACCACAAATTAAATATCATATATTCTACAGGCATTATTTTTGTATGTGTTTTAGTCAAATAATAACTTTCACACTTGATAATTTCTTTCAAAATCTCTTATTCCTTTGCCATCCATTATATATAGATTTAGCAGTCAAACAATATCTGATAACCTTTATATGTTCATGTATAAAATGTCCATGCCTTCTTAGGTATTCTTTGTTCTTAACTTTAGCATAAAGAAAACAATAAAATGGCTCTTTTTTATTCTAGGCCATTTTTGTGAAAGACTCAGCATCTAAACAGAAAAACACAGGCTGTTGCACATTGAGACAGTATTGGATTTAGCATTTGTATCTACTTACTAAAAGCCAAGACTTTTATAAATTATAGTAGAAAATGCTACCAAAGCTGAATCCAGATAGCACCAAATAGAATGGATTGTGGTATTATCAGATTTACGGTCTTATCATTAGGAATTGCTTCACTTCAGGCATTTACACTGTAAAACTTAAAATGAAAAGCATCATTCATGCTATAAAGTCCATGGAAGTAGCCTTAAAATAGCACTTCTCCTTGTATCTTAGTAAGCAACTGTTACCAAGCACCCATTTCTCTTTATTTTTAAATGTTGCATTATTATCTGCTATTATTTTCAAACACTTATCAATAAAATAAAATGGAATTATTTAGCATTATAAATAATATAAGGAAATAAATTGTATAAAACCAGGTTTTATTAATGTGGTCTGAGGATAATGGTACTTGAGATATCAATGTGTTTACCACTGTATAGTTTTATATAAAATAATTGTTAACCTAGAAGTTAATGAAAGAAATTATATTTCCCTTTATGACTGAGATCAAGGGACTCGGCTTTTCCATTGATTCTGAGCATAGATTTAGGATTATTAAAATTATATTTTGCCATCTTTTTTTTATTTAAATGAGATTTACCTTGAGTAATTAAAAATAGTTTTCTCCCCTTAAATAGATCAGTACCTTTGAGAATTAGAATATAGGTTTCTATATTAATTAATCTGATTTTCATATTAAATCCAGGAAGTATTGTTTTTACTGGATATAAGCTTAAGGATGAAAGTAGGCTAATTATGTGATTGAGGAAAACCATCATTAGTTTTCTTTAAGATAATATATGTGATGGTAAATAAATGATTTGAAGGCATTAATATGTCTACTTTATGAAATCAAGATCAGTGTTAGGCCATGGAGGTTAGTGATAATCCAACAAGAATCTATCCAATGAATAGAAGCATTAAAAAATACCAACTTAGTAAAAGAAGTAACTTAAGAAAAACAGGAAATGATATTAGAATAAAAACAATTATCCAGAGACATCAAGTTGAATGTGTAAATATTGTGGACTCAGTTATTACATATTTAAACAAATAATTTAAGTCTTAATAATTTGTATATTAGGAAGGACATTCTCTTAACCTAAATTTACTTCTTCCTTTTCTGTTTAAAAATTTGTGATTCATTTTTTCAGTATTTCATTTGCAATGCTATGCACATAAAGAACTAGTCCTATGTTCTTTTGGAAATCTTCATTATATGATAAAACCTGAAACATATTTTAAGTATTAATTTGGTTTTATAGGTCAAGAAATTCTTCTGTGGTTTTATTTGCCCAAAGGTGAACTTTTTTTAAAGGTGTCTGCCTGAATTATAATTTCTCACTCTTCACCAAGGATAATCCATTATAATCAAAATATATCCTTTATACTTGTTATCTTATTGATTTTGTGTACAAATCTTATGAGGAATTTCAGCTAAGCCCTTAAACTAAAACTCAAATTGACCCTGACAATTTCAAATATGGTTATCCTTCCAGGGATCCCTAATGCCTCCTATACTTCTGTTTTTTGGGGGGGTTTTTTTGTTTTTGTTTTTTTCAGAAAGACTCAGTGAGCTCTCTAGAAAATTTGGAGGAAAAAAAGTTTCATGGAGAAGCCTCCATACCAAGCCCTAAACCCAAGCTCCATGCAAGAGATCTCAAGAAAGAACTCATCACGTAAGTAATCTGCCGTGACCTACTTGAGAGATGCTGGAATTAAGAGACTCAGTTCATAATTTTGAGTAATGTCTTGGCTTATATTGTTGACTTTAGGAATGTTTTAGGGCAATTTCAACCAGTCAGTAGTTAAATGTCCTATATGTACCTAAACCTATGCTCAGAACTAAGAGGATTATGGAAAAGAAGTGTATGATATACTCTCATGATAAGAGAACTGAAAGTCTAATTGATTGGGAAAAAAAGCAAAATAAAACCATTAGAACTGTTTATGTTTTGATTAGTTCTTAATATGACATCCACGGATGCCAGACATCCAGGTCAGGGCTTGTGGGACCCTGAAACCCTTATCCACCCTGAAGCTGACCCTTGTTTGGGTCAGGGAGTTCCTGGTTTTCCTCACATTCTCAGACGGTGCTGAGACTCAGGAGAGTCTAGAGGCCAGTAAGTGTTATTGGAACAGCAGGCAGGTTCTTAGACAGAGGTCAGGATGCCCCACAGGGACGAAGTTTCAGGGGGCAGGACGACCAGACGGCTGCGGGAGAGGGGCAGGCACAGGCTGCAGGGTGAAAGCAAACAAATGACGCAGGATTTCAGGAAGAGCGGTGTGGGGCTGATGCCTTGGGGACTGTCTCCGGTGGGGGTCATCTGAAATGTTGGCGTAGAGGTTGGTGGCAAGGCCGTGGGGGGATGACCCCACGGGCAGGGAAGGAGCCTAGAGGGAACAGGACAGTGTGTCGTCTGGGATGCCAGCCCATATCCGTCCTTCTGGGGACTCAGAGGGAAAAGGGAGCCCACAAAAAATGCAGCATGAGCTTGTTTGGGACCACCGGAGAAGAGGGCAAGTGGTTGCCATGGAGCTGGAAGCAAGGAAAGTTCCCAAACTGGGCATCTGATAAGATCAAATGCCACTGGAAGTTCAGAGGTTAAATCAGAAAAGCCTGGCCCCATCTTCGAAATTAGGTCTGCTGAAATAAGGGAGGCCAGGCAGCCGGTGGGACGTGGAGGCGGGCGGGGCAGGGCACTCCAGGCGGAGCCCCAGAAGGGCCTGTGCAGACGCATCGCAGGTGCTGTCCGCACCGCGGGGCAGCGACCAAGACGGTGGCCTGCAGCTCACACAGCCGGTTTTGCTAATCCTGAAGCGCTCTGACTGAGGGTTGTTAGGATTAGACTGATTCACACTTCCTTACGGAGAGACAGCCCTAGGTCCCTTCTCCACCTTGGCTCCAGTTACTGTGCAGGGGAGGTGGAGTATCAGGACAGACATGAAGCCAGGGCGGAGGAGCAAGGGCCTTCCTGGCAAAGAGGAGGCTGAACCCCGTTCTTTTTTGCATTTTTATCTTCAGCAGGTGGTGGAGTCCTGGCTGAGCTGCTTAACAAGAGTGAGTGAGAATGAAATGCAGGAGAATATTTTCCATATGTGAATGATTAAATATTAAAGTACTTTAACATTTAAAATAGGGTGAAATAGGTGAATGGGATAAAGTGGTGCAAACTTCCAGTTAAAATAAGTCATGGGGGTGAAAAGTGGGGCATAGGGAACAGAGTCAATGATAGTGTAATCAGTTTCTATGGTGAGCATTTCATAATGTGTAGAAATGTTGAATCTATGCTGTACACCTGAAACTAACATGTTGTATGTCAAGTATACTTCAATAAAAAATTATATTTATACGCAGATACATTTAAAACTGCCCATTAATGAGAGCATCTAGCAAATAGTAACCTTGCCGTCAGGCACCAGCATCTATACCCTGTCTTCTGAATCTCCAGCTTAAAAATATGTTTACATTTTTCTAATAAAAAAATTAAAAACCCTCTCCTGACCCGGCTTCCACCTTGATCCCCTATCTCTCCTTCCTTTTATAGGTAAACATAAGAAAGTGGTCTCTACTCTGTGACTCAGTTTCTTTCCTGAACCTTTCCCAGTCGGGTCTTCACTCTCACCTTCCCACCAAAACCGTTCCTGAGTTGTCCAAGGCCCCCATCTGCACCCTCGGTCCTACTGGCCTGGGTTGTGGCACTTGGCAGAGCTGCTTGCTCTGTCCTCCTCAGCCGCCCTGACCCTACCTGGGGTTAACACCACACCTGTGGACTCCCCAACCTCCCTGTTACCCCTTCCTGGACTCCTGGGCTGCCCTCCAAAGATGGGAATGCCTGAGCACTCAGTCCTGGACCCACATCTTTCCTCTATCTATACTCACTGCCCCCAGTTTTCAGTGGTAGAACCATGTCCATGTGCAGACTCTGGGCTGGCCTCACCCCTGGGCCCATTTCCCACAGTCCACATGAGCTCTCCCTTCCCTAGGACCCTGCCCCCTCTCCACCCTCTTCCCTGCTTTTCCCCTATGGCCTCAGGGCCTTCCAGCTGCTGTTCACTCTGCTCCTCCCCCACATCTCTGTAGGGCTCCATCCTCTCCTCCCAAATGTCACTCAGCTGGGAGGTCTTCCAGGCTCCTGTAGCGGCCCCCTGACCCTGACACCCTTGGCCCCTTTCCAAATCTTCTGTTGTCCTCCAGCATTTCTCCCACCCAGTGCACTCACACATCTCATCTCCCTACTTTCTCTATAGATGGCCTCCCCAAAACAGAGGCCCCAGGAGAGCAGAGGTGTCCTGTGGATTTTGTTCCCTTCCATATCCACACCAGTGGTATATATTTATCATGCTGCCTCTGAGTCCCGCAACGACATGGACAGTGATTTGGGAGCAAGGAACACATCTCAGTTTCCATTTCAGGGCCTTGCATGTGGAAAGTGTTCCGTGAAATTATTCCTAGTGCTCTCTCCATTTGTTGTGTTGAGGTGTGGGTGATTTTTAAATAATCTTAGACTGCATTCTTTTGGACTTCATAGGCAAAGATTATTCACTCAAATTAGCATGCTCTCCAATGAGTTTAATACTCACCAGGAGCTTGGCGGCTGAAGCAAAATGACGACGTAGTACCAGACCTACTAGAGCTTCAGTTTCACTTAACACCATTTTGCCCCAAGAGACCAGCCATAACTGTCTCCTTCATGGAGCTGCTTTCCAAGTTTTGCAAATCTTTTTATGGATTTTGTTTCTGTATATTATTTTGAATATCTTCAAAAATGTCGAAATTTTATCCTTTGTAGGTAGATTTTTGGAAATTGTCAGAGTCACTCCGAACTAAATGTAGTGTAAAGATTGATAATTAACCTGCATTACCATCTTGGACAGAGAAGGGAATTATGATTCTGTTGTAATGGGCACTTCTCATCAAAGGAAGTGCAAAGGAAATGCAAAAGAGAAAGTTTTGCAAAAAGACTTTTGAACAATTTTTGGAATATAATCACAAATTCCTAGGAAATTATGATGAATTTATAGGATTAACATATGACACATTTGTAATAGATTAATATATATTTGTAATATGTTAATGTATGATAATATATTTATATGATTACTTAATATGATTGATTAATTCTAGAGATCTCATGGTTCCCACCGCATTTTGCAGATGGGTGAATGCTCCATGTATGCCACTTATCTATGTGAACCTGTGTTAGCATGTGGGTTTTGTAAAAGTCACTCCTGTACAGGTGCATCCTGTCCTTTTGAAGTTTTGGGTTTTTTTCTAACAGATATAGGTACTTTAACTTCTTACCAAATACTGCTTGCCTGGAATTGGATTTTTTTTATGTTGTCGATTAGCATAAATTTGCTTGATGTTTGAGCGCCACTTACTGAGTGAACTAAGCTAGTTTCCTTTCTCTAAATTTTGATTCTTTCATTTATAATCGTACCCAGAATCTATCACCTAACTGGTATTGCCACATGTTGTGTAAGATTTTGCACTGAAGATTCGTAATTGAAGCCAGCTTCCAGAATCTGAAACAGAAGCTTTGCCCGCCAAAACGCAGCCTCCAGCCTTATATTCATTGACCTCTTTGCCACTAAACTTAAAAAAATTAATTAGCAGCTAATTAAATTCACACTTTATTATTGATTTCCTAAGTAAATTGTAGCTGACTGGTTTAAAAATCGTCGGCATGTCTTTTCCTCTCCTGGCTGTGCTAACAGGAGTTAAATCAAAACAGAAAGAAAAAAAGATGCAATGCTGTATTAGCACAGTAGGTGGCGGTGCATTTCCAAAGTGGAATTCCAAGGCAATGACATCACCTCTCAAGCTCTGAATACTGCAGTTTTATAATGTAATGTTCAATTGTGTAATGTTCATCCATTTAGTGGGTGAATGGCACTTGCAGGGTAACTCAGCTCAAATGCTAATGTTCATTTCTTCTTTAGTTGGTTTCATATATTTATGGCTTCCACACTTTCTGGTATCCCATCTGGGACAGTGGTGGGGAAGAGCTAGGAGATTCTGCTCAGATCAAGCCCTGGAAATCAAACATCTCTCTGAGATGGAAATGTTCTAGCTCTTACAGTTTCTTTAGATTTCCTGAAAATGATTGGAGAGTAACTCACATGAAAGAAAAAAGGGACTTCAGAAAATCTTGGATTGTCAATCCAAATGTACTTTCAAAAGGGCAATTTCTATATTTTACACATACAGATAAGCCTTTACTTTAGGCATGATGTCAGAGAAAACCAGAGGCACTAATGATGTGACTGATTTTTCTCTGATTATTAACACCGCCACAAACAGCACTGAGTTAGCAGGGGTTAACCTGCTCACTCCAGGTGAGGGGTTTTGGAACAGCATCAGAGGGCTGAGAAACCAAGGAATCTAATAACACAGAAGCAAAACTGGTCAGAATGACTCTCTTCTTATGCTACTTTTAAAACACATCAGATGCCCAGAATGGGACCAGCTTCGGGGGAGAGATGACATGCACCAGCATGCTCTGGTCTTGGGCGGCAGCCTGGAGAGCCCACCTTAATAATTGCAATTGTCCTCCTTGAGGTCAAACTTTGGATGAAACTCACCACCAGCTTTGTCAACTAAATTTCTCATCTATTTCTGCACTGCCAGCAACGTTCCCATCTAAAGTGTCAATTTACATTTCAGTCTTATATAGGCTCTGGACGCTTTTCAGACAGTTTCTAAGATGTTTATGAAGTTACTATGTTGCTTTTCTCTTACAAACGCTACAAAAATTTCTTTCTGGGATCTATTATATAATTGGTGCCAGTATTCTTATGAGTAACTATCATTATAAAGCATGGGTGTATAACATTTATTTTTTAGGACATTTATTCTTTCAAAGAAATAAAATATCACTAATTGTTGACTCACATCACTGGGACATAAATTTTAGCATCACTTTTCTACATCATATGAATCACGGACTTGGATGTGATGCTGAGAACTAACTTAAGCCCATGCCAGTTCCTTTTAGCTAGTCTACTGGTTCTTATGTAACATAAAACTTTAGTTCACTAGTGTCTGCATGTCCTAGACTGTGTTACGTGAACTTGAAAAGAAGCTACCTGGTAACCAGACAGAGCAAATGAATCTGTGAAATGAGCTTAACATTAATTATGTTTTTTATTGACCCAGCTGTCCAACGCCAGGATGTGATGGAAGTGGCCATGTCACAGGAAACTATGCTTCCCATCGCAGGTACCTAATAACCCAGACCATCTTCTAATTTAAATACTTATTCTTACCCATTCTAGGAAGACATTATTTGCATCAGTGAGTGGAGAATGAGTTAGTTGGATTTTTGTTTTGTTTTTCAGAAATAAATCTTAGTTAAATCTTTAGTCTTTTTATTTAAGTGGTATAGAAATCATGATTTGAGATTTAAAAAAAATGGCCTTCTGACCCTGTGGTCCAGGTTGCAAACCAAAAGCTCAGGGTTTGGCTCTGTCCAGCTTTAGGACTGAAGTGAGACCAAGGTAACAGAGTGACAGGGTTGACCACTCACACTGTAGGGTGTGGCATCCTCCGTCCTGTGCATGGAAATCAACGTAGGTGTCAGAGGAAACAGTGCACCAAGGCTGTGCTCAATCCTTCCACTCATCTCCATCGATGTGCTTTGCTTTCCCCCTGGGAGCTGGTTTAGACCTTTGAGCCACCACCCCTTGGTGATGCAGTGGGAAAGGACTCATGTCAGTAATTATGCTATCCTGAGTTCTGGAGCCTGGGAGTCTCATTGAGGTAAAGCCTTTCATTTGATAAATAGCAAACCTGACTGTGAAAAATAATTGAGGCATCCATAAGCCCAGAATGGTTAGAATAGCAAAGCCATATTCAAGCCTAGTTATTTATTTCCCAATCCCTAGTCACAAGAAATGTAATGTATGTTCACAAACTCCAGAAGCCATTTGAGTTGGGTTTTATATGTCAGTGTTGTGTGTTTGTTTTTCTTACCCTCTTTAGTGTTTCTGGATGTCCTTTAGCAGATAAGACTCTGAAGTCCCTGATGGCTGCTAACTCTCAGGAGCTTAAGTAAGTGTGGAAGTGTGACTTCTTGCCCTTTGTCCACTGCAGCAGGACCCTCATCATTCAGGACCCGTGCGGTCACTGGCACATATAACTCATGCCTGACTCAATTATAACCAATGCGCTTTTTACCAAAATGTTCAAATGACTAAAACCAAATCACTGTAACTTAATTTCATCAGCTTGCTTGCTTTGTGGGTCTTGTATTTTACGATATTTTTTAAGGCACTGATGTAATAGCTAAACACAATCCTTTTTTTCTTTTGATTTCAGTATTTTATACTAAATCAGATCTATGAAGGTATGGCAAAGTGTTTCTATCATCTAATTTTAAGAAAACTGTCTAATATTTCACTTTATAGGTATTTTGAATCATATACCTTTTACTTTTCAGTGGTAAACACAATTTTGGCCCATTTATACCTAATCCACAGAATCCCAAAGTCACATGTATAGTAATTTTTACTTGCTTATTTATTTTGCCTACTCATATCTCCTTTTATTTCAAATTTATTTTCATACCTTGTTTTTTACATATAGAATAATAAGTTATATCTTAAACCCCTTAAAAATATAATAGGGCATAAATTTAGAAATGATAAGAAATAACATAACAAAATTAATGATATTTATTTGCAAATAATATTTTAGGAAAAATGTTACTGAGTCTAGTGATAAAACATTTGTATAAACAGAATCAACATTTGCTGTCTAAATCACAGGTAAATTTTCAGATACTACATTTTCTTAATATTTTGTTAGCATTTCCAATTCCTAACTTGTCTAAAATTTTATCTAAAAGTTACAGAAAATAAGCTTATGAAAGAAGATGTGATATTAAACATATTAACATTTAGAATTTTAATACCAGAAATCTTTCTGGACTGAAATAAAAGAATGTTAAGTAGAGACCAATAATTAGCAGACTGGAAGGAGATAAGTTCCAGGTATACCCACTCAATCTTACTCAATCTTCTGGACTCCACACTTCCTTATTCAATCTTATTCAATTGTTCTAAACATCTACATTGCCATATCTTAATAAAAGCTATCAGTTCTCCTATTTTTCTAAACATTATGTCTACCAAAAGATGTTGATAATACATTGCAAATATATAGCTTGAGAGGTCCTATAGCAATATTAAGTATTTACATATTTTATAGGGCCATCTAATAAATAATATTCTTAGTTTTTTCTATACCAAGAAGAAAAAGACACATTTCATTACCCTCCTGCTTAGACACTCAGGGAGGATTCCAAAACAAGGTTATTTGGCACAGACTTTTCCATAGACTTTTTCATAATTGCAATATGCTAGTAAACCACTACTTTATTAAAAATGTTAACAGAAAAAAAGACTAGCATCCTAGCCTTTCCTACAATATAGAAGACACATTATCTTTACATGGCTGATTAAAGACTCCATGTAAGTTTTCCTGGTTAGTCTGAAGAGGTATGCATCCTATTTTCTGACTCAGGATTGGATATAAAAGCATTTCTGTGAAGGTTCAGTTGTGGGCTAGCATTTAAGAAAAGGATAGTATTCTCATTTTTCTTTGGATTATTATTTTTTTCAAGCTCTTGTTTGGGTAGAAATCTGAATCAGGGTAAGCATACAGTAAAATGATAACAAAGAAAATGTCTTCAAGAACCTTCAGAAATGCAAACATTTTATGACAGCCCGTGTTTTCATTTGTATTGGGGATTTTTAAAAAGGAAACAGAAATATCAGAATCTTCATAAATTTTTGCATTCTTGTGTATTTTGAAACCTATTCCTGATCAGCAGATTATCCTTCCTCTTTCACCCCTCCTCATTCCAAATTTAATGGTTGATCATTGAATATAGTTATTGTCAATAATAGTTATTGTAGATTTCCCAAAAGATCATTTAAGTTGGGCCATGAGGCAGAACAGACCAGGTGCAAATGACTTAGGTTCTTTGGCAACGGTATTGATGCACCGAATCTCTGGAGTCACATACACCACTGTTGTTCTTCTGAATTTAATGGATTATCATGGTAGTGTAGCAAATCAAAGAAAAATAAATTATGCATGAAGACAATTTGGAAAACTTCCTTTCTTAAGCCAAAGTTAGGAACTTTGCATGATGAAGACAAATACCCAGCAATAGGTTGTGGGCTGAATTTTAGATTCTTTCCAAAATAAGGTTTACAAAAAAAAAAAGAAAATAGCATGTGGAATAACAGCTAGTATGTTGTCTACCAAGCACCATGCAGTAGTTATATAGCTTAACATTTTCTTTAAAAATGGATTACCAGCCAAACCTAATTATTCTTAAGCAGACCAAGTGCCACAAAAAGCAGCTCACTCATTTGGTTCTATATGAATGTCACAGTCCCTCCCTTCACTGCAAACACACGGTGCACGCTCTGTTCCTGTGTTTTCCAGGTGTCCAACACCAGGTTGTGACGGCTCAGGGCATGTGACTGGAAACTATGCTTCCCACAGAAGGTAGGATGGATCGCATTTCTGAGGGCTGGAAATCAGGATGTCCACAGCAGTGGCCAGGGAGACCCCATGATTTGTTTTGTTCTTTCTTGGGTACACATTTCAGCTTGTCCGGCTGCCCTCGGGCCAGGAAAGGCAGTGTCAAAGTGACTCCTATGAAGGAAGAAAAAGAAGAGCCCGAGCTCAAGTAAGTGTGGCAGTTGAGGCAGCAGCATCAGGGCCAGAGGCAGCTTGTCAGTCCAATGGTGGGACCTCATTTGGGATGAACTTAGCCTGGACTGAGTTTCTAGGAAGGTGCGTCCTTGTGAACACAAGGATCTTTGCAGCAGTCAGTGTGTTTGGAGGTCCTGGAGAATGGCCATTCCTAACTATCTTTCCACAGTTCTTTGATAAGGCAAAAGAAAAAAAAAAGATACTTTTCCCAGTTGCTGTGAAAGAAAGCAATATTGTGGACATGCTATAAAATCACAAATATGGCAGCATTTCCCCCAAAACTGTAATTTTGCTTGAGATGAAATTTTATCTAAATTGAACTCCCTCCTCTGAGAAATATGCTACCCAGGCTTGGACGAGATATGCAGATGCAGATGTAGAAATTCAAATGGCTTGCTCTACACCATTTCTAAATATAAGACATTTTGGAAACCAAAATTCTAGTACTATGAATGATGTATAATGTAATGTAATGTAACTGTAGGGCAAGGTGGTTCACCCTTTACACGCTTGGTCTTTGGGGGCTATGTAAAGCATTGTCTTGATTGGCTCAGGAGCTAGATAACATGGGCATGAACTTCACTCCCCTTCTTGTAGAATGGGTGGCAAGTTCCCTAAATTCTGTAAGCTTCCTTTTCCCCAACTCTAAAATTGGATAATAATATTCTGTCCAATTGGCTTGCAGTGAGGATTACATGAGATAATGCACAAAAATTGCTTAGCTCAGGGTCTGTGGACCATTATTACTGCTGATCCAGTGCTGTTTTGCTAGTTGTAGTGGCATCATTTAAAACCATGTAATTTCATCACTTACCTTCTGTGTAAGTGTGGCCCTGCCACTGCCTCCTTCACTCAGCAACAGCGTTGCACGTGAGGTGGCTAGTCTCTCCCAGCTGGGAATGTCTCTCTGTGTCTCTAGATGTCCTGTGATAGGGTGTGATGGCCAAGGTCACATATCAGGTAAATACACGTCCCACCGCACGGCTTCGGGCTGTCCCCTGGCTGCCAAGAGACAGAAAGAGAATCCTCTCAATGGGGCACCCCTCTCCTGGAGGCTGAACAAACAAGAGCTGCCACACTGTCCCTTGCCAGGCTGCAATGGGCTGGGCCACGTAAATAACGTCTTTGTCACCCACAGAAGGTAATATTCATTTTCTGTCTTTTTATTGTGTCATTGCTGTGATTGTCTGTCACCTGGATTGCTTTTGGGGGACACCTTCCTCAAGATCATTAATCATAGAATTTTAGATGCTGCAATAATGTCTTGTCAGATAGACATTTGACTAGTTTGAGGAATGAAAAGTATTTTCTCTATTTCTGAAAAATTCGTGGCATGATTTTCAAGTGCTGTAGGGACTGTGCATTTGCTTTTTTGTGTTCTAAGATATTGCTGATGCTGCTATTTTTTAATGGCTCAGTCTTTTAATGGTTTGCTTCAGCTCCAAGTGGCAGTATCTACTTGATTATGTTGTATAACTGTAAACTTTCACTTTCCATATTTATGTCACTCCCTTCCTCTCGTGAACTGGTGCAATTTCAGACCAAATGGTAGTCATTTGCTGTTGGGAAGATGTGACTCATCTCCAGCAGTCAAAAAGATGACACAGTGACCACTGAGTGTACAACAGGATGAGATTAAAAAACCCTTTATAGTCACACAATGGCCTAATTCCTTTGTTACCATGTGTTGTGGGTTTCCACCGAGTCCTAAAACATTGATCTTAGTCCAGCTTTTTTGTCTATATTATACCTTAAGGAAAGATGCTAGAAATTCACAACACACTTCTCCAGTCAGTGTGGGCTCCTCTGTGCACTACTTCTGCATGTGATGCAGATTTAAAATCCAGTGGATCTTTAGAGAGCCCTGATGCTTTGCTTATGAGCAGTATGCAAATTGAGCAAAGCTGTGGAGTTTGGACATTTTGTTCCATTTAAAGGTATATCTTAATGGTATCAGAAAATAAAGGCTTCCAGGAATTGCTGATCTAAGCAAATATGCCCAGACACCTGCTTATGGAGAAAACCTGAACAGTTTAAGTGGTTTATTTTTTTGTAGGTTTTCAAATGTATGGCCATGTTCACAATAGCACACATTGTCTTATTCTGAGTTTGAATAACCATTTCATATTCAGGAGTGAGAGGCACAAGTCAAACCTGTCTAATGACACATTTACCACACAGCAGCTTTACTTTCTTATCATGGATTCAGTAATATCTGTGTGATGCCGAACTATGGTGAGCATGTCCCTCAGCAACAACAGAATTATCTTTAAAAATCATAGAGAAGTTTTACACGGTACCAAGACTTGGTGAAGATATGGAGCAATAGGGAGTCACATGCACTATAAGTGGGAGAGAAATGGGTAGAGCCAATCAGCAAGCAAATTACCTTTATGGAGTCAAGTTGGAGAAGAGCAAATAAACAAATGTGCCCTGCTACCCAGCCACTGAGCTGTTAGGTCCATGGCCAGGGAATTTCCCGCACATTGGAGCCCCAGGAGAGACATGGCTGGGAACGTCCATGCTGTTGTTCTGCCAGATCCAGACTGGGAGCGCCCCACAAGCCCACTGGTAGTGGAGCATGGAAATAGATGGTGGCGTCTGCACATGGGGCTGCCACAACACAGTGGAAATGAAGGCATGACACAGCTCTGGGGAGTTCCAGAACACAACACTGAGTGAAAATATTTGCTGAAGAATATGTGTGGTATGATTCTCTTTCCAAAAAGTTAAAAATATGCAGCGAAATTACATTTGGAGTAGCTACACAATTACTAATTTATAATCCAAGCTGGTCATCTCTGGGAGGCAGAGACAACACTTGTCAAGGGGCACAAGGAGCTTCAAAGGCAGGTTTGATGTTTGAAGGCTAAAGGTGTGCACTGGAGGGCTCTCTAAACTGCAGGTGTGCACTGCATGTGACTACATATACAACTACCTACTTTGTAATAAGAAAAAGACAATTATAAGTTCAAAATACATAAGCTTCAATGTCAGTGCTGAGATATTATTTTCTAGGAGAAGGAAAATAAGAGTTGTACAAATGAATAATTTGTATTTCACTACTCTTCACTAGAGTTTTATCTTGACACTTAAAGGATTTAGGAGGCTGAATTTAATTTGGGGGTTTCTCTTTAAGGTGGAATGCTTTTCTTTATTATATATGGAATGTAATGAAATAATTTAATAAAGTGCCCAGCTAATTGCCTGATACAACACTTTCACACAGACTGCTTCCTTTCCCTTTCATTAAAATTGTATTAATATAATATATTATGCTCAAAAGGAAAAAAGAACTGTTATATTTTCTACTCCAATTTTTTTTAACTTCAGGTTTGTTTTATATTTGGTAAGGCATTAACTGCATTGGAAGATACAAAACGTCAAGTGGCATTTTTGAAACCATAGCCTCACCTTCATGACTTACACAAACTCTTACAAACCATACTCTTTGTAAGCGGTCTTGTCATTAACTCCACACCATTGTGTCACCACTGGGTGATGGCTGCCCTGTGGTTTGAACAAAGCAGATCCTTTAGAGGAAGAGTGAAATTCTCAGAAAGTATTAATATTTATTACATTGCAAATGGACTTTCTACAGGTCACCTTAAAAATCCAACTTACAACAAAATAGTAATCCTGTTCATGACCAGTTACTGAGAGCACAATATTTGACATAAAACAAGACAGACTTAAGTAAATTTTCCAGAAAAATAAGATAAAGAAGGTTATATAGGCCACAACTTACAATGAGATGCTTCAAAAATAGAAATATCCAGTTCAAAGCTCAGTTTGTCCTTTTTCATTATTTCCTTTTCCTGTGTAAGATATTTTATAATTTATAAAATTTTGGCAAGCCACATAGCCTTTTTTCATACATAGTATTACATATCTATTATTTTTTATATTTCCTATAAGTTTCATACAGAATAATTAAGATTTCTTTGAAATTCTAAATAAAAGAATAAAATTTGTTCATTCAGCAAACATTAAGGGCTTTGCTTCAGATATATGAAGTGCCCTAGTCTTTGGATTAACAGTGAAAGTTTCATACATAAATTGCAGCCATATTTCTGTGGGGAGAAAGATATAATGGAAGATTGTGATCATTATTTATTTTATTTAAAAATTTTATTTCCAAAATACAACACAATTGCAAAGGAATTAATGACTGCTTAGAACAACACAATCATCTCATCATGTACTAGGGGAAACAAATTTTGCTCAAGGCCGTCATGATCATTTTAGTGCAATTTAAATAAAACAGATGACAATTTAAATACAATAGATGACATTAACAGACAGAAGCACTGTTAAGGTGTGCAGCTATTAAGGAAAAGTGCATAAACTAAGCTGCAAGGCAGTGGCTGCCTTGGCAGTGAGGGCACTTGGACACACATAGGGTGCTTCCTTTTACTTTCCTGGGAGATAAGAGATTTTTTTCATGCAATATAATACTTTGAAAGTTAAAGAATAAATTGAAAACTTTCCCATACCCCAACTGAATTTACCATGGTGGGGGTATTATTTTGGTGTTGTATTAATTTTAGTCATTCTCTAAAGATCAGATGACAATATAGACACAATAAGAACTAGAGTCTATTTTATTATTCTTGGATTTTAACTAATTTGGAACCAATTCTTATCCTAATATATATGTACTGTACATCACAGAAAATAGAGTAACCGCTAAGAGGACATTTATGTAAATACAGAACAGAAACTTTTTTTTTTTTGAGAGGCATCTCTCATATTTATTGATCAAATGGTTGTTAACAACAATAAAATTCTGTATAGGGGAGTCAATGCTCAATACGCAATCATTAATCCATCTCAAGCCTAATTCTCGTCAGTCTCCAATCTTCTGAAGCATAATGAACAAGTTCTTACATGGTGAACAAATTCTTACATAGTGAATAAATTCTTACATGGTGAACAGTACAAGGGCATTCATCACAGAAACTTTCGGTTTTGATCATGCA